TTTGCTAACTCTGTGACCCTCTCTTTGCCCTAATCTTGTAACAGCAGAGTAAATGGCAAACCGCCAGTGTCTTTGCCGAGAAAACCTCCCAGACAATATGGTCCTCGGGGTCACAAGGAGATGAGCACGAGTAAGCAACAATAACAGGCACAGAATCTAAAGAGGAAAGGCACTCGAATCAAGGGAGCTTGGGAAAATCTTCCTGTAGAAGATGAGACTTTTGTTGGGATTTGAAGGAAGCCAGGAAAGCTAGCAAACAAAGGTGAGAAGAAAGGGCATTGCAGGCATAGGGACGGCCAGAGAAAATGCCCAGAGCCAAGAGATGGAGTGTCTTGTTCATGGAATAGTCAGGAGGCCAGTGTCAGTGAATTGAAAAGTACATGGCAGGAAGTAAGGTTGGAGAGCATCTGAATACTAAACAAAGGATTTTCTATTTGATCCTAGGAGGTGATAGGAAGCCACTGGAGTTTACTGGGTAGTAGGGCTTCAAGATGAAGATATACTTCAGGAAAAATCACTTTGGTGGCTGAATGAAGGATGTATTGGAGTGGGGAGAGACTCTTCTCACCTGAGGCATTTATTAAGTGCTTACTGTGTGCCAAGCACTGAGCTAAGTAAAGGGTGCACACGTAGCAGGTATCTCTCTAGGTTTTACTATCCCAAAGCCTGGGTGGCTGAATCACCTCTTCAGAGTTCTAGGGCTACCCTGAGGCTTAGCTCTAGCCCCGCAAAGTTTTGCTCCACCCACTACTGACACGAGAGACCAGAACCCCACTTCCACTTAATGTTTTAACATCATTTAAGTTTTATGCTGTCCCCATTCCACCTTGGTCTTTGGGGAGAATGGGCTTAGGTTTAGCATAGCTTCTTCATAGCGTTAGTCCCATCAAGCTCATATCCAAATATGGCATTGCTGCTGGAAAAATCCTCAACATAAATTAGATTAGATTGATAGATAGCTAAAAGATAAAGCATTTATTAAGGGCTTACTCTATGTAGCTATATGGCACAGTGGATAGAGCACTGGCCCTGGAGTCAGGAGGACCTGAGTTCAAATCTGGCCTCAGACACATAATACTTCCTAGCTGTGTGACTCTGGGCAAGTCACTTAACCCCAATTGCCTCAATAAAACAAAACAAAACAAAAAAACCAACAACAACAAAAAGAAAGTGGAAGTGCAGAGCATACCTATTAAGGAAGGATTTGGAAAATCCTCAAGAGGAGCTGGGAAAGAAGTGAGCATGGATGGCATGGACCCTTCTTGGCAACAGATCAACCTGGGATGAATTTCATCATAGTAGTTTTCAATCTCCAGGAATCCCAATTTATGTAGGAATCTCCTTATATATGTAATTATCTTGGAGCAGGTGATGAACTTCTGCCTCACGAAGTCATTCAGGATAAAGTTGAGGTATTTCTGACCATACTATGTTTCCTTTTTTCTGAGACTGAAGTGAAGGTGAACCAACACAAGCAGACGTGGAGACAGCGGTGTAATTTCATGGGGACGATGTGTAGTTTTCCATTCTTGATCTTCCCAGGTTTCCCCTGAAACTCAATGATGTCTCCCCATCAAACTTTGTTATTGATATGAAAAATTTCTTCTTCTGATTTATAATTCCTGAGTGTGCAACTTGATACGCTAGTAGCTTGATGTGCTCTCCTCAAATATCATAAAAGATGAGCTTTTCCCCAGCAGACTGTTTTGCATGGAAATGATCCCATCTTTCTAAGCAGGAACTCATCATTTAGAGGAGACAGATACAGGTGTGGAGACATTCTCCAAGGTGAGGAGGCTGCTGGCCAGGAGGTCTTGGGTACCAGCATCTCACAGTCACTTCATTCCTCAAGGCACTGATGCTGGGCTGCTTGCCACCCAGACCACTTGTCTTCCTGACCTTTAAAATTTTCAAACTCACAAAGTTATACCTTCCAGATTAAACTCTTTTACCTAAAACAAAAGAACAAACAACATGGCAAAGAATGGAGTCAGATATTTAGGAGGCCAGATGCCAGCCTCAAAGGGAAAGGGCTCTGTGCCTCTTCTTTTTTTCTGCCTGTCACCATTTTTGCCGACACCATCAGTGATAAAGTCAAACCAAGAGCAGATGTCCAACCAAGAGAGAGAAAGAAAAGGCCAAGGTAGATAAAAGTCTTTCAAGATACCCCCAGTTCCATTCCACAAACTGCGGCCATCATGTGGTTAGCAGACTGGAACCAGTTACAGAATATCTATGTGTGATTCATAGTCTCTCCAAGACATGCCTATTAAACATCATCACAGTTCTCCTAGAAATAGGTTTCCTAGCTCTTCCAGATAAGAAATTACATGCTGATGCATTCTCCACAGGCTTAGAAGGACAAGGGCCATCGGCCAGACCTCTATTATACAAATAGAAGAAAAAAAAACACTGTTCTTGTTCTTATGAAGACCATATTCTAATGGGGAAGATGACGTTAATAACTATGTACCTATTGGATATCTATCTATCTATCTATTTAGAGAGAGAGAAGGAGGTCAGAGAGAGAGAGACAGAGAATGAAAAGTAATTTCAGAGAGAAGACACTAACTGTACCTTGGAAAAGCATATGAGCTGAGTGTTAAAGGAAGGCAGGGAGGCCACAAGACAGATGTGAAGAGGGAGTGGATTTGGGCATGGAAGACAGACAGTGAAAAGCCATAGTGTAAGGGACATTAAGCATTTTGTAAGAAGAACAAGAAGGACAGTGTGGCTAGGTAGTAGATTACATAGATGACAGTAAAGTGTAAGAAGACTGGATTGATAACACTAAGAAGGATTAATACTAGAGGATTTTATTTTTGATCTTGGAAATAATAATAAGGAAGCATACTTGGATTAAAGTTGGTCTGACTCTGAATTCTTTGACATGACCCCCACAAGACACCATGAAGCAACAACAACCTCATGCCTGGACTGTTTCAATAGCCTTCTGATTGGTCTAGCAGCCTCAAGCCTTTCTTCACGCCAATCCATCCTTTACTCAGCTGCAATAGTGATTTTCCTAAAGCACAGGTCTGCCCATATTGCATCTTGAATCAGCAAATTTAAATGCTTCCCTATATAATAATAGGAAATAATATTCCAAGATCAAAAATAAAATCCTCTAGTATTTACCCTTCCTAGTGGTACCAATCTAGTCTTCTTATGTTAGGGCTAGATACAACTGTTTTTGTTCTTATGGAGTTGCAATAAGCAATAAAAATTTACCATGATTTACATATATAAGAAGTTTTACTTAACATCTTTCACTTTTCTTCTCTTTTCAAGTTTAAATTTATCCTGGTATAAAGACAAATCATTAGACATAATTTCTATATTATAAATAAAATTGCAAATTTTGAGCAAGCCAAGTCAGAGACTCTGCCCACCCAGGGATGCCAAAAACTGTTGCAGTTTCATGGTGCATTGTGGGTGGTTGTCTCAAAGAATTCAGAGTCGGGGCAGCTAGATGGTGCAGTGGATAGAGTACCGGCCCTGGATTCAGGAGGACCTGAGTTCAAATCCGGCCTCAGACACATAGCACATACTAGCTGTGTGACCCCGGCCAAGTCACTTAATCCCATTGCCTAGCCAAAAGAAAAAAAAAAACAAAAACAAACAAAAAAAAGAATTCAGAGTCAGACCACCTCTAATGCAGGTATAGGAATTTATTGAGGATTGACACTCCTCAGAAACAGGCTAGGTTCCAAAAGGAACCAGCAACTTAGTAAGACTACATATGCAAATTTATAGTGTAATTATGTGATTACATAAGAGAAATTATGAATATTAAAAAGGCAGGAGGGGTTTGTTAAGGGATTAGGTAATGGGAATGATCCCTTTTATGGTTTGGTGGTCAAACATCCTGGTCATGCTGCTTTCTGATTGGTTAGCTATTGTGATCCTATCTTGGGCTAAATGGATAATGTGATTGTAGTTGAGTACAAGGACAAACCTGTTCAAATATGGGAATTGGATCTGGGGGTACTTACTGGCTAGCTAGAGGTAGTGGATATATTGAGTCTGAGGGCCTATGATGTGGTTAAAGCCTGATTGTGTGGTCAAATCAGGGCATGCCTGCTGTTCAGTGAGACCCACAAGGAATTTAGAATATTGGGGCTGAGGGCAGCTTTACTAGGATTCCATCAAGGTGATATGTACTTGCACCAGAGTAATATCTGTGTGAATGGAGAAGAGACTTACAGCGGAGGCTTTGAAGACAGAATTGATAAGACCTGACAATAGATTGCATATGTGGGTGTCTAATCTATAGCAAAATACCAGCTTGGGCCTTTAACAGGACTGGGGGTTGAGAAGAGTATCCCTAAGCACTAGTCTCAGAGATAGGCAAAAAAGTTGAAGAGAGGGGAAGATAATAAAAGGGGAAGAATGGTAGGGAGGAAAATTAGTGGGAGGAGAAAAAGAGAGAAAACAAAAACAGAAATGATAGTAACTTAAATTGTATGACACTTTAAGGTGTACAAAGTGTTTTCTTCAAAACAACTCTGTGAGGTTGGTAGTGTGAGTATCATTATTTCCATTTGAAAGACCAGGAAACTGAGGTTCATACAGGTTAAGGGATTTGCCTAGAATTTCACTGGCTGTAAGTATGGAAGCCAGGTTTTGAGACTTAATTCCAGAACTTTCGATTCTAAAATTAGTGTTCTTTTCACTACACTGTGTAGTTAAGGAGTTAAGGAAGTGGACAGAGAGACAGATAGACAGACAGAAAAAGACACAGACATAGAAATTAGAAGACCGTGACAGAAACTAAAAGATGAAGAAACTAAGAAACAAAGACACAAGCACTGATATAAAACAGAGACAAAGATCTAATGAGAAAGAGAAAGAAGCAAAAAGAGTGATGAAAAGACAGGGAAAGGGGAGGAGAGAGAAGGGGAGGATGGGAGAAGAGTTGATTGAGGAGACTGAAACCACAACCCCCACAATCCCTTGCGGCTCCTACTCCGCAGCGGTCTCCAAGGCAACCGGTACTAAACAAGATGGCCGCCTCCGGGACTGTCTCCCGGTGACACGTTTCTCCATCTCTGGGTCTCCCTTGGGGAGCCTTTCTCGCCAGCCGGAGTCATGTCGTCCCCCGAGCTGAGATATAATCGCTCTTCGATGACTAACACTTTCCCTTTGGGGAAAAAGCTGCCAAGCGGCTTCTCCAGCGTCTCCTTCTTCCTCCAGCAGCTCTTCCACAATGATCCTTCGCTGGGTTTAGGCTTCGACGAAGCCGAGGAAGCCGAGGAAGAGGACAACGTGGAGGCTGAGGAGGAATCATCCGAGTCGGAAGAGGAGATGCCCGTGGTGGAGGTAAACGTCCCTCCCCTGCAGCCCGCCCGGGCCGTGCCCTCGAAGCAGGAGCCCAGCCGGATGTGTCTCTTCGCTTCGCCCTTCCCCACGCCCTCGTCGGGGACAGACGCGCCCCCCGTCCCCCGCTCGCTTCCCTGGGGCCAGATGCGCCCCTCTGGTCCCCCCGGCCGCACGTGCCCTCGCCGTGGCTAGATGATGTGCCCTCCGCTTCCCCCACCCCCCATGCCCTCTAAGTGGACAGGTGCGCCCCGCCCCCGTAGTCCCCTCTCTCCCTCCCTGTGGCCAGATGTTCCCCTCTAGTTCCCCCTCCACTCTGTGGCCAGATGTGCCCCTTTGGTTCCCCCCACACAGACACGTGTCCTCTCCGTGGCCACATGCACCTCTCCTCAGTGTCACACCCCAGATGTACCCTTCATGACCAAATGCACTCCTGGTTCCCCGACCCCACGTGCCCTCTCTACGGCCAGATATGCCCTCCTCCCTCCGTAGCTCCTCTGGGGCCAGATGCGCTTCGCCCCGTGCTGTCCCCACCACCAGCATCCCTTCAAGACCAGATACGTCCCCTCTCCTACACGCGTGTCTCCCCCCCCCCCGGTCAGATATGTCTTTCTGGTCCCCCCTGCCTCTTTAGAGCCAGATGTTTCCCCCCTCCACTCTCTCCACGTGATCCCTCCTTGGCCAGGTATGCCCCTCTGGTGCTCTCTTCCCACTTCATCCCACCTTTGCCAGATGCCCCTCTTTGCTCCACCACTACTCCCAGCTCCCCTTCCACAGTACATCCCCCTAGGGATCCTGGGCCTTTAGGCCTCCTGGCTTAGATAGACACTTCTGTGACATCTTCCCAGTCAACACCAAGGCACCCTATGTTTCTCCATTCTCCTTGCTCATCACCACTATTTCCTCCTACTTTATTTCTTTCACTTAGGCCAGCTAGAAGCAAAACTGGAATGTTCATTTTGTCTTTGACATCCCCACTTCTCTACCCTTGCCCTCCCTTTGAATGCCACCTGAGCTCTTAGTGATTTGTTGGTCTCTTTTTCTTCCTGTTACATGTTTTTTGTTTGTTTGTTTTTGTTTGGTTGGTTGATTGGTTTTGGCTAGGCAACGGGTTAAGTGACTTGCCCAGGGTCACATAGCTAGTAAGTGTTATGTGTCTGAGGTCACTTTTGAACTCTGGTCCTCCTGAATCCAGGACTGGTGCTCTATCCACTGCGCCACCTAGCTGCCCCCTGTTACATGTTAAAAACAAAACAATAACAAAACAAAACAAAAACTCCTTGCTCTTTGGAAAAGTAAGTAACAGGGCTGATAAGGCTTCGCTCTTACATTTTAACTTGCAGCAAAGGAATTTTCATGTGTTCTGTGGACAAGGTGTTCCGTGGGTCCAAGGGGTCCTTAAAGGAATCACGTTGCTGTTTACTGTAAGGCTACTACAAGATGGGTCCTACTTTTAACATTCTTTCAAATCCTCTCCCTTTTAACCACCACTCATTCTCTTCCTAACTCTCAATCCCTTTTAAAATTGTCCTCTTGTCCTTAGCTTTCCATCACAAAACTTTCACAGGATCTCAGAGGTCATATCTGAACAGGTGTTTCCCTACAACATTCCCAACCAGTGGTTCTCTAGCCTACTCCAGAAGAATCCCAGTGGCGCCCCATTACTTCATTTCCTTCTCTTCAATTTTCCCTCTCTGTACCCCTTTATCTTTAACAGTTGCATTGTTTCTTCTCTATCACAAACCCCCAGGAAATCTCATACCCTTAATCCTGTCTGTACTCTCATGAAACTTTTTGTTGCCTTCTGCTGCATAATTTTGTTTTTCTATTTCTTTTTCCATTCTCACTACTAATATTCCTGCTTTCATTATTCCTTTTGCCATCACTCCATTTTACTCCAATAACTTAAATTTTAGTCCCCCGCCTTTACTGTATTTCAGCTAATTTGCAGTTCCCTTTTGCTTAATTCAAGGATAACCCCCACACTACACACACTTTCTGTCCTCCTCTCTATCTGCCACTGTGTATTTGAAGTTAGTACTGTAGATTAGTAACTTTTTTCCAGTCTCTCTTTTCCTTTGTGATTCCCACGGTTGTTCTTAAATGTAATATCTGCAAAACTGCCACATTGTTTTGTATGTTTAAGATGTTTGTGTGGTTTCCATCAGGGTCCACCCCAAAGGAATTCACAAATGAATCACCAGTTTACTTTATTATTCTTCTAATTAACATCTGCTTTTCCTCTATGGAGTTCATTAGAATCATTGTTAATCTGTCTTCTGCATGCTATTAACAAACAGTAGAATGAGTTTGACTTTCACTTGATATTCATTTTTGAATGATTTGTTTGTATGGAGATTTCTTTGCTATCCTGATTCTGGTATAACACTGATCAAGTTATGAATATTCTGTAATTTAAAATTTTATTTTGACTTTATTTCAAAGCTGAAGTAGTATATTTACATTTCTGAATAAAAAGATTAAAGGAGAAGCCCTTGGGCTTTTGGGTCAATTCCCCCCCCCTCCTCAACTTTAGCCTCATTATTGAGAGTAATGGCATGATGAAGGTGATAATGATCATGTAATAGTTTCATTCCTCGGGGTCTACGAAGTATTAGAAGACTTCAGGAGTTTTAAAGTTAAGCATTTTCCTTTCTACTAACCATGGCACTTAACCCTCAGTGCCTACCACAGGCACTCTCCATTCAGTAGAAACTTAATAATGTTTTGCTAAATTGAATTGAATTGAATACTATGTTGGGTCAAGTTATTTCTACCATCTCTCTTCCCTAGTCTTTGCTTCCTCATCCACTAATTGACTCAACAACATAAAAAAATAGGTTGTAGATGCCATAGATTGTGGTGTGAGTGGGGAAGATTAAAAGTATGAAGATTTTCAGTCCTCTTATAAGACTGGTGGGAGGCTTTGTGGAAAAGATACATCTAGCTGCAGCATAAGCCTAAATGTGACTCTAGTATTGGAGCAGATAACCTGGTCAGCAGGAGATTAGTAAATTAAGTGGAAAAGATCAAGATTTTTCCAAGTTGAAGTCAATAACCTAGAGATGGGTAACAGTTTTGGTCCTGGTAAATTGTAAGGGACGTACTTGTATTGTGCTGGCACACAATGTAAGATTCTGAAATCTTACTAGATACTGCAGTGCTACAGGACAGGCTTAACTGTCATCTCCAGGACCGGGGTTTGGGTAGTAGTTGACAAATGCTGGTCCATGACACTTTGGGGTCACTGCACTGTCTTTGAATTGAAACATGTCCCAATCTAATAATATTTTTGGAAATGGGTGCAAAACATTTGCTTCTAGAGGAAGAAACCAGTGAGATATGTACATTAGAACCTGTTTTCTTCAGCACAAACACCAGAGACGTATGTTTTTAGTGAGATGTAACTATGCATTCACGTTTGAAGCCAGTCACTATCTGCAAATTCTATGATAGTCAAGATAGTCATTTCATTAGTGCATATGAACTGCACGCTGTATTTATGTGCCTTCAAGTAAGAATGAAATGACAAAATTTTCTTGTGGGCTGGCACAGTTTTGGTACTCACTATGGGACATATAGCATAGGCGCTAGGCATATCCAGGAGAGTGCTATTTCCTTTCATAATATAGGTTTATCTTTCTGGCTTCCTTATTTTTTTTTTTCAGAATGAATTTGATGGAGTCCTCAGAGAAGAAGCAGTGGCTGAAGCACTCTGTAAATTGGGCCGCTCAGGTCCTGGTACTGAGCAAGTCTACCTCAACCTATCATTACCAGTGAGTATAACGGAATGCCAGTGATTGTCGGCGTGTATACACCCTGTACACTAAACCTTTCGGTTTCTAAAGTTTTCTCTGATGTTCATTGATTTGGGGATTACTAGAAGCCACCCCAAGGCCCAAACCATTTCTTTTGGGTGGAAATTGATGTTTAACAGCTACTCAACGCCAGACTTTGGGGAATCCCTAGTATGTTTGGTTATCAAGCCCCCAAGTTCCTTTACTATTATTGCTCTCGTGTTTATGTCATTTCGTGATAAGTATTAACGCAAGCCCAACCCCTCTGGAGACCCTTCTCTCAGGGCTGCAAACTGAGAGAAACTTCAACTGATACAATTCAGTTAGGTTACGCAGTATCAGACAATCTGATGTTGTATCACTTGCTTCCCAAATTGGTACCTGGTGATGGTATAGCAACATGGGGATCACTTTCACCAACATTAATAGGCCAAGAGCAGTGCAACATGATTACAAAAATACAATGATTCTATGTCCCAAATTTCTCTCTGAATCCAAATTAAAATAAATATTTTGTATTGAGTTGGTTTATTTCTACGTGTGTCAAGGTGATCTAACTTCCAAAGAAAATGCTGCAAAAACATAGGTTTGTAAAGATATTTTTTGTTATTTAGAAATTTTTAGCTTCTGAATATCATTCATATTTAAAATTAATAACGGAATTTGATCTGATATAAAATGATAAATGAAGAATAATCAGAGTACTTCAAGCTTTAGTTTTGTTTCAAATTAAGCTAATATCCTGGAAAAAATATTTTAACTTTTTGTTTCAGAATATTATAAAATGTTAAAAAACAAAACAAAACACCACTTTAAAATAGAACCAGTATGGCTTAGAGGAAAAAGCATTGGATTTAGTGAGCAACTTGAGTTCACATTCCAGTTTTGGCCGGGTATAGTGGAATACACCTGTAGTCCCTATTTGTTGGGGAGGCTGAGGCTGTTAGTTTGCTTGAGTTAGGGAGTTTCAAGCTGTAGTGAGGCTAAAGTTGATTAATAAGATAGTGGTGATAAGATAGACCCCTGGAACCAGGAGGCCACCAGATGGTGTAAGAAGGGGCTAACCAGGCCAAGTTGGAAAAAAAGGAACAACTTGAAGCTTTATGCCGATCCATACTGGTATTGGTGACTGCATTTCCAGGCTGGGCAAGATAGGGCCACCCAGCCTCAAAAAAAAAAAAAAAATCCCAGTTCTGCCTTTCTGCCTGTCCCAAGGCTTCTCTGGGTTCTGTGTCTTAATTTACTAATCTGTAAAATAAAGTTGAAGCATATGACCTCTAAGATATCTTATAGTTATAAATCCCAGGATACTTTGTTTTCTGAACAGTGTATGTGCAAAGTGTGCTGGAACGTTACCATGGCACTATGATTCTGTTACACAATGGAGTTCATTATAAGGTTATTCCATCTTAGACCTCATTTTAGGAGACTTAGTGCAACATTAAAAGGGAGATTCACCTATAAATCAATCTCATGGCATGTCCTTTGATGACAGCATTATACCAAGGCTTGCATGTATTATAATTATTACTTATAACATTTTAAAAAATGAATCAGTCAACATGTATTGATCCTGCTATCTGCACATAGCACTAGATATAGGTATGGGGATGATGAAGAATTTTAGAAGCTATTATATTCTCATTCAAACCCCTTTCAATCAATATTCTACTTCTCTCTATCTCAAATTAGTCTGTAAAAAACAACAATCCTTTCTATCTTATTTTAGCTAGATAAAACTTATTTTGCCACTAAATTTCTTTCATATTGGGCACTATATTACTAATTTTGTCTTAATATTTTCTCTTTTCCTTGTTTGGCTTCTTTAATGGATCTCATTTTCAGCTGTTCTATCCCCTTTTAATAAACATTCTTTTTTTTTTAAAAAAATAAACTTTTATTGATGCATTTTTTATATCAGCAAAATTTCCTCCTCCCCCAGAAGACCATACCATATAAAAATAATGTTTTTCAAGGAAAAAAAGAGACAAAATGATCAAAATTGACCAACATATCACAAAAGTCTGATAATGTCAAATAATCAGTCAACATTTGCCTACTCTGTGTTAGGCGCTGTGCTAAGTGCCGGGGATATAAAAAAGAGGCAAAAGACAGTCTCTGCCCTCAGACAACTTACAGTATGTGCCATGTACTATACTCATGGACCTGCCACCTCTGCAAGGCAGTGGGGGGTGGGGATGGGGGAGGTGTCTTCTCAGCGTTCTTCTTTTTATATTTGCGTGTTCTGGTTAATGACTCCTAGCTAGTTTTATTTCTCTGGCCATATCTGCTGTTATATCAAGGTCCCCAGATTCCTTTGTCTTTTCTGAGTAGTCTTCTCTTATACCTCTTGGAAGTACAAAAGGTATCAATCATAGGGTCTTAGAATCAGAAGACAGTTTAAAGCTTTGGTGCTCTCCTTTTATAAATGAGGAAGCTGAGGCCCAGTGAGATTAAATGATTTACCCAACATCACACAATGAGTTTGTGGCCCAGATAGAATTAAAAGCCAGGTCTCTAGGCTGGGTCAGGGCTCTTTCTTCTACACTGTACTATTAGAATTAGATAGAATTAGAAGCTCATAGAATTATTGGATCAAACGAAACAGCACATGTGAAAGTGCTTTAAAAGTAACACTGTATACATGTCATGCAGTGTTATTAGTTGCATGTTGGTTAGGCATAAAATCAATCAACAAATAGTTCACATGAACCTACTATGTGCCAGGCAATGTGCAAGGTACTGGGGATATTAGTAATAAGAATGAAACCATCTTTACCCCTACTGAGCTTAGATTCTAATGGAGAATTTAACAAACACATTTAAAAATATATGTAGCTTATGCATAAAGATAATACATACAAATGTATTAAACAAAGCAGTTAAATACCAAAACTTTAGGAAGGCACTAATATTTGGGGGAGTGGGGTCAGGAAAGCCTTTCCTGCAGAAAGAAGATGGTGCCTAAGTTGCATCTTGAAGGAAGAGAAGGGCCTCTGAGGTTAGGAGTGAATGCATTCTAGGCATGGGGAACAGCCAGTGAAGTCCTGATACAGGAGGTGGAGTCTCATGTACAGAGCCAATGAAAGCTAGATTGGGGTAGGACTTGTGTTTTATCATTTTCATTACTATAATTTCTGGCTTATTATGTATAATTATTCTGGCTTATTTCTTACATTTCTTTTATGCTAAGAATGTGCCTAATATGCATTTGCTTTAGAAACAAATACTTCTTTGGCCACAACTCTTCACCACTTTTATTCTAATTCAATTAGCAATCATTTTCTTCACATTGATTGTAAATTTTTTATTTGAATGTTGCTCTTCTTCTTTTGAAGGTCTCTTATTGGTAGGAGCTCAAATACCCATTTTATTTCTTGTTAGAGTTTGGTGTCTAACTTGCAGCATCCGCCTGAAGGGTGTGCCTGATTGATTCACACTGTCTCTTCTTCCTTTGTATTCTAAGAAGACTATCATACTAAAATGATATTGAAGTCTTTTTTACTTTTTTCCCTCAGAACTCTGACTTAATAGATGTTTCCATTCTTTGTGGATATTCTCACCTAGAGAACTTGGAACTGTCACACAATAAAATTAATGGTATGTAACAATTATTCTAGTAAATTCCTGCCTAGACCATTGAGTTAACAGAGAATTAAAATGGTTTGATGTAATATGTAGTTAATACCATAAAAATTCATTTTAGTGATGGCATGAATCAGTTACCATATGGTTTCTCTGCCCTCAAACCAAAAGAAAAAGGCACAAATCTACAAAAAGGACAATGCCGTGGTGTATTTGTGATATTATAGAATCCTATTTACTCAATTATCAGAGATTCAGGTGAAATTTTTGAAGCATTATCTCCTTTTATGAAGTTGATTATGCCCTAGGGTTTAAGCATTCTGTTTTCCTTTCCTACTTTTCTCTAATCTTCAATAAAGATTATACGTTCCTTTTATGTTTCCTTTATCCTTAATGGGTCTGTATCTTAATTTGTTCTTTCATATCTCCATCTCCTTCCTGGATGGCTGTATCTAATCTTATTGGAATGCTAGAAACTCAATTTTGTGTGTATGTGTAAATTACTCCCTTGGTTGTTCATTGTTATTTTTTCAACTCCGTCTTGAACTTTTCTTTTTTTCCTTTTCTGTCTTTCATGTATGTATGTGTGTATGTATGTATGTATGTATGTATGTATGTATGTATGTATGTGTGTACGTTTAGCACATCGTGCTGCACTTTCCATTTTATTACAATAATCTTTAAGTGCTCCTTCTTCTTCCTTCTCCTCCTCCTCCTCCTTCTCCATCCTCACATCTAAGCCCTTTCTTCTTGATCTTGGTCACTAATTCTGCTATCTAGTACATTCTATGTATTCCTTGTCTTCCCCAAGAGATAAGCATTGCTGTTGTTTTTTCCTTCCTAATATTTGTATGGGTTGGGCTAGATGACTTCTGAGTCCCTCTTCCAACTCTCAAATTCTGCAGTTCTATGCTCCATCAATACATATTACTGATGACTACTTTTTAGTAGACTCTCTTCATGAGTTGCTGTGACTAGAAATATCATCATCATACTACCAGCCTGGCAAGGAACCTCTAAGTTGTTAGCAAGCCTTGTCTTTGGATGAAAGATGTTTGTTCCTCCCATGGGCCATACCTGACACCTCTCTAGCTTTGTGGGATCTTTAGAGATGGTACTCTGATAATATGAACTTCAAGGACTCCTATAAGGCACTGGTATGGGACTTCAACTTTCTCCCCAGTAGCACTAAAATAGATATTATTCATCCTTCTCTAGACCTTTGATTTCATTGGGGTGGGATGCTCTTGGAATAGAACTCAGTTCACTGATATAGATCAGCAACTCTCCAGTGATATATAATTTTAGAACGTTGACTAGGGCACAAAGGTTAAATGACTGTGCATGGTCACATTATCTGAGGTAGGACCTAAATGCTGCTCTTCTTGACTATGGGGCTGTGTTTATCTGCTAATAGATGCCTCTCACCTTTTCCTTATGAGTAGCAACAACCCAGATCCTTCACTATTTCTTACTTTGATAATGGAAAACTTGCATCTCTCTTTTTTTTGGCTTGTTTTCTCAGGCTCTTTTCCTGACCTCTATTGTCTTCCCATGAATAGAACAAGCTCTTTCTTTTCATTAGTTAAGAATCTCTCTGGGGCAGTTAGCTGATGCAGTGGATAGAGCTCTGGCCTTGGAATCAGACCTGAGTTCAAATGCAGCCTCACACACTTGACATTTACTCTCTATGTGACACTGGGCAAGTCACTTAACCCCGATACCTCACCAAAAAAAAGAAAAAGCCTCTCTCTGACTTCTTTTGTATTTTTCTTTAAGGTTTACTTTTGGGGGGGGGAGAAAACATTTTAATGAGAACATATTTTAGATGACCTCATATTTGTATATTTTGTTCCACAATAACTTGTGAAAGAATGAACAGATTTTAACCAAATTTGGCACATAGCCAACTGTTCTCTAAAGACCATAGGACCTTTCTATCTGACTTGCAATTGAAAATCTCCCTATGTGTTGTCTCCCTCATTAGAATGCTGGGAGCATTGTTCCATTGTATCCACAATGCCTAAGCACAGTACCTTGCTTATTGTGAGCAATTAATAAATGCTACATTCATTCACTCATTTATTCATTCATATTAGTAAGGACTAGCAAGGTATGATTTAGGTATGATTTTATGGTTCAGTCTACCATTTTGAAACAAAATAATAGCCAATATAAGTCTTCTGATGGGCGTATCTTGTGTTCTTTAAAAAGCATTTGAAGAGATTTTAATGACAAATGCTCTATTATTATAATGTCAGGAAATACCTTTAAGTTGATGCTTCCTTTTTTAACTTGGAAACAAAGTAATAATAAAGGTTTTCAAGCAGTGACAGCTTCTGAATTTTTTTAATAGGTCAATGGAATTTGGTATGCACATAGAGGTGAGAAATATGTTTGTGCAGTCAATGAAGTATTAGGATCATAGATTTAGAACCAGAAGGAAACTTAGACAGTATGTAGCACAATCTTTTTAGTTTATAGGTGGAGAAACAGTACTGTAGAGGTTTAGTTACTTGTCCGGGTTCATAAAACCACTAGAAACTTTTCTCCTTTACCAAATTTTGTACATAAGAATTGGTTTATCTTTTTTGGTCTGGGACCCATTAAGATTCACAGAACTTAGAGCATATAACAATATAGTAATCACTGAAATGTAGATACTTGAATTTTTACAGTTTATAAAACTAGGACTCAGAGAGATCAAGTAATTTGCCCATGGTTACATAGCCATAAAGTAGGAGAGCTGGGCCTAGAGACCAGATCTCTTTTTTTTTTAAATCATGTTCTACTGAAAACATTGAGGCCATTTGCTAAGAGTTTCTTCTTCTGTTTTCTTCCTCATCTCATATCACCCTCTTGTCTTCTGCTACTATCTCCTTTTTCATCCCTATCTCACATAATGAAGTAGCCCTTCTCCTTGCCAAGGCATTAATAATGATGATGATGATAACAATAATGATAATGAGGAGGAAAAATAGGAGGAAGAAGAAGAGGAGGTACTTGGATCTCTATTGCTCTATTGCTTTGTAAAATAGGGGCCTTGAATTTGGTGATCTCCCAGGTTTCTTTTTTAAGTTCTAAATCCTATGATAAGTAGTAGTAAGAGCTTGTAGACTGATTGACTAATTGATCATGAACTCATGTGAGGAAATTGCAGCATATAACCATGCTTGGTTGGACTACATGTCATTGGATTCCCACTGTTGTTTTTTTTTTCACTACATCATTTGCCAATGATGTTGAATCAATTTAAATTTTATGTTATATGTGAGGATGAGAGTGTTCTCATGAGCAAATTTTATACTTCATACTTTATTTTTAAAGTTATATATGACTCTAGTGAATAAAATATAGTCTTTCTCCCTTTGGAATTAAGGTACAAAATGTTGGCTTATGACCAAATATAGAGGTTAAGTGAATATTTTTACAAAATAGAAACTGAAGTAAAAGTATAAATTCATTAAAGTGATCATGTAAAATTCACAAGATTTAGGATTTGGTGATTAATTCTCAGGTATTATAAACAAAATTTATTTAAAATGCAGAGGTTACATTCATTTCTATTCTTTCTATTGTCACCTAACTCAAACAAGTTTGGTTATTTAGTAAAATAGCCAGGAATGTTGCTTTGCATCTATCTTCCTCCTGGTGCTCTGCACAAGTAGTAAACCACCACTTGTTAGCACCTCTGTGCATTATTGAACTGGTTTAGGGGAGAAGAAGGTGAACCCTGAAACAGTCCATTTCCTATTTTTAGTTGTTCTGGTCAAAGGGTAGATGTAGAAGAAGGTTAAGAGTATTGGCTTGTGTGAAGTATTTACATTTTTAAACATATATTTGCATTATTCATGTTTTGGGGGGCAGAGCATCATTAGTAAAAGTCTCGCTGTTTGCAATTAAATTATTTTTTGAAAAATGTTTTCACTGTAATGTATACTGTTGTTAATTGTTTTTGCCTAATTTTACTTATTTCATTGATTTAGCTTATTCTGTGTTCTTTCTTTCCTTCTTAGATCTGAGCTGTGTTAGTCACATGCCTTATCTCATAGAACTAAATGCTTCTTACAATGAGTTGACTACTTTCTTCGGTTTCAAGCCACCTAAGAATCTCAAGGTAGAATTTATAACTGTGCTAAACAAATGTATTAAATGCCATGGTAGATTTATATACCAAAGTTAACAATGCTGAAGATGGGGCAGCTAGGTGGCACAATGGATAGAGCACCAGCTGTGAAGTCAGGAGGACCTGAGTTCAAATCCAGCCTCAAACCAAACACTTGACACTTACTAGCTGTGTGACCCTGGGCAAGTCACTTAACCCCAATTGCCTTAAAAAAAACAACCAATGCTGAAGAGACATGAGAAATTTACTTTGAGACATTCAGATTTTAGTGGAGAGCAAATGAAAGTTTTTGGAGTGACTGATCATGTTCAACCTTTCCATATTTATAGAAGTGAGTTACGGTGGATAATATGGCTATTAGCCTTTGAAGTATGAGGAAAAAGTGGGATATTATGTATTTCATTTATTTTGAAGAAATAAAGATATAGGCTAGCCTGCCAACTGATAGCTTTTTTAGAAAAATGTGCTAAAAAGGATGGTTTAAGGCACTCCTGAAAAAAAAAGTTCATCCTTTCTCTGAAATTCAATAATTATTATTACGTATTTTTAAATCAGAGCAGAAACAATTGTATGTCAGCACTGAGTTATGGAAAACCTATTTAGCATAGAAATTTTCCTCATGGTTCCAAACTTACCCTCTTTATGTAACTCAAATTTTAAAATTAGTATCAACTTACTTTTATGTGAATTTTCATATAAATTTATGGAAATAAATGTGATAATATATGCAAAGTAATATGTATACCATAAAGTATTATATAGGTGTTAGCTACTATTATTACATAAAAATTTCAAATCTATTCATACTTTTAAATGTACTCTTGCATCCCTAAAGCAAAGAATGTACTAGGCGTTTCATAAAATAATTTGATATAGTGGAGATTGTATGATTAGCATTCTGTCACATGACTCCATTTCTTAATGAAAAAATGCTTCTGTGCTTTTAAACTTTGTATGGCTAATCATTTATGTGACTTCATGTTTGTGTGATATGGATATAAACTGTTACTGTCTATTTCCCAAGGTTACATTTTATTTGTAAAACAAATTAAATCTAAGTTTTAGATCTAAAGTTCTTTAATAAGACTTGCAAAAACATGGAAATCTATTTCAAATTCATTCTGCTACAGCATTCATTCATTTATATTACAGCATGGCAGAATAGCCCTCTTATTGATTTCTTCCTTTTTGCTAAGTAATCACTCAATTATGATCAGTCTTGTTATTTTTTCTTTGTTTTTTTGTAAGATGAGTGCATCAGATTGTTATTCCCCTATAACCATAGGCCACCTTCTGTTCCTCTATGGAACCATTAGGCACTCTGGGGAGGCCACTCAGGAGTCACACTGATTAGGCAGTTTGTAGCCTCCATTGTTGACACCATTGCCAGTTCTCCCAGACCCTGGCAGAGCTTTTTTCATCCTGAAATATGTCCTTCACCCCTTGGGAAGCCTCCTTAGAATCACATACCTCTAATGTCTTCTCCTAAAGCATTCAGTTCTTATCCTGCCACTGTGAAGTCCTCAAATCTTAGGGAAATTAGCAAGATTGAAAACATGGGACACTACAGAGACCCCCCTGCCCCCAAGAATGGCTAGGCCATTATTCATGTGGTCCTCAATCACCCTGCTGTTCCCCTGATTCCACCTACCTGGTATGCCCTCCTTTCTTCATATATAACTTCATGTTTCTGGAGATTAGACTGTATTTTACACTTCTTTGTACTCCCTGAAAGTGCCAAGCATGGTGGCTTGCATGTATCTAGTAGGTACTCTGTAAATACTTGTTGATTTGGATTTAATGGATTACTTTCTTCAGGTTGTAGGCTTCATAAGGCTACAATGTGTATCAGAGTGCTTTACTATTACCCCTTAAAACCTCTGTGCCAAATATTCTTGAGGACATAAACTTAGCCATGGTCTTTGACTACCGTACATTTAATACACATGCTAAATAGATACGTGGAGATAGAGGATAAAAGAATCAAAGATATAAATTAAGGACAAATAAAGTCTCTGAGCATTAGGTAGTCTCTTCTAGTCAATCATTTGCCCTTTAGTTGAGAATGAATACATAGTCTAGAAAAGACTTTTCTTGAAATAGTTATAAGAAAAGTCATAAAGTGGAAGGGATGTAGCTTAAGGAATTGAAAAAGCCAGATTCTTCTCATCTTTAATAGATGGACAAGTTAATTGAGAAAGAGATAGAAAGAGGCAAAGACAAAGAAAATCAAGATATTAATATACATTAAAAGAATAGACATCCAGAGAAAATGAGATAAATGATGCTAGATAGGGACAGAATGAAGGAGTTTCCTGAAGAATGAATACAAAAATGTAATATGAATTTCAAATACTGAGGTGGCCAATGGAGGAATTTGATTTGGTTGTGTGTATGTTATAAGATTGCCTATGTCAGTGGTCAGAACTCCATGGAAATTACATGTGTCTTGGACCAGTCAAAAGATGAAAGAGAAAGGGATTATTTAAGAGGTGTTTATATAGTTTTAGTATCAAGGATTTTTTCATTAATTAATAAAATTTATTTTTAAATTTGCCTTTTAATATTAACAAACATTAACAAAATTTACATTTGTAAATCATTAAACTTAAATAAAGTCATTCCTATTCATTCTTTATGTAAACGTCTTATTCTTATGCTATGCTATGCTATTGTAAAAAAGATGGAAGGATAAGCAGCTTATGGCAAATTAGTCTGTCTTTTTTTTTCAGAAGGTGGATTTTTCATACAACAAAATCCAGGAAATGAATGATTTGCATGCATACCCAGGGCTCAGCAAACTAATACTGGATAGTATCCTTTGGAATGGATAAAGGGAATATTTTTGATAAGAGATTTATCAAGTTTGCTAATTTTTTATATATCTTTGTGATACAGTGGTACTCAACAAACTTTTTCCTGAAGATACAGGAATGACATTTCAGCTTATTAAAACATTTAAAAATTAAAATGTTGAAAGAAGGCATGTCTTTTCTCTATGAAAATAATATTATTAGGAAAACTGTGAATCATACTCCTGATGTTTATTTATTTATTTATTTTTGTTTCAGCTACAGGATTGGAAGCTATGTTTTGAACTAATTGTGATTTCCTGGTTTCTAGAGTACAAATTCATCTACACATGTGCTAGGTTTTAAATTAATCTTATATGTGAAAATATGGATTCAAACCATTCTATTGCTGCAGTGCCTTTTGTCATCAAACTCGCATAGTCTCTAGTCACTGCCTACCTGAACGAATAACATGAAATCTTTCTAACGATGGCGCAGTAGATAGAATGCTGGGCCTGGAGTCAGGAGGACTCATCTTTGTGAGTTCAAATCTAGCCTCAGACACTTCCTAGCTGTGTGACCCTGGGCAAGTCACTTAACCCTGTTTGCCTCAGTTTCCTCATCTGTAAAATGAGCTGGAGAAGGAAATGGCAAACCACTCCAGTATCTTTGCCAAGAAAACCCCAAATGGGGTCACGAAGAGTCAGACACGACTGAAATGACTCAGCAATAATTTCTCTAACCCTACATCACACCCCTTTAACCAATCCTTTATATCACTGTCAGGTTAGTCTTCCATATGCATAGGTCTGGTTCATGTCATTCTTTTGCTCGAATTTCTTAAGTTGCTCCTTATTTCTCCCCACGTGAAGTTCAGCCTCCCTCACCCTTCACAATCTGGTGTGCCTTACCTTTTCCAGCCTCATCCCACATTAGCCCTCTCTCCTCCTTTTACTCTATACTCCAAGTAAAATGAACTGCTTTATGTTTTGTATCTCCCTAGTGAACTTACTGTGCAAATACTGTGTGTTGTGGTCACCTGTGTTTGTGACGTGCTGTAATTTTTATGAAATCAAGGACTATGTCTTACCTAAAACCTGTACCTCCTCTGTAGCCTAGCAAATTAGTCTGCATATAGAAGGTACTTGATAAATATTTAATGAATTTGAGGCCAGCCTAGCCAGAATGGAAAATGTCTTTTTTAAAAAAATCTATTTATATTTCATATTCATTTTTTTTAAAAATTTGAGTTCTAGATTCTCTCCCTCACTCCAGCTCTCCCCTCACCCATTGAGAAGGCAAGCAATATGATATCATTTATATATATGAAGTTATGCAAGAAATAATTTCATATCAGCCATGTTGAAAAAAATAAGAAAAAAATTTTAAAGTGAAGAAAGTATGCTTCAATCTGCATTCAGGATTCATTAGTTCTCTCTCTAGAGGTGGATAGTATTTTTCATCATGAGTCCTTCAGAACTGTTTCGTTGTATTGATCAGAGCATCTTAGTCTTCCTCAGCTGATCTTCATTACAATATAGATATTATTATGTACAATGAGCTCCCGTTTCTGCTCACTTCACTTTATATCAGTTCTATATAAATCTTCCCAGTTTTTTCTAAAACTACCCCTCTCATAATTGTTATAGTACAATGGTATGCCATCACAATCATATATACCACAACTTGTTTAGACATTCCACAATTGATGGGTATGCCCTCAGTTCTTAGCCATAACAAAAAAGAGTGGCTACAAATATTTTTGTACATATAGATATTTTTCCTCTTTCTTTGACCTTTTTGGGATAGAGATCTAGTAGTAGTATTGCTGAGTCAAAAGGTATGCACACTTTTATAGGCCTTTGGGTTTAATTCCAAATTGTTTTCCAGAATAGTTGGCCCAGTTCACAACTCCACCAACAATGCATTAGTGTATCTATTTAGAAATGGAAAATTTCTGTTGTGGAGTAATGGGGTGAGGCAGACTGTAGAATACCTTCATTGCCAGGCTAAGGAGCTGGTACCTTAAATGCTAAAAGGTTTTTGGAGTAACTGAACTAAGTGTTGTTTTCGGTGTTTTAGATAACTTGTAATGCTTAGAATTTAGGTAACTGAGAAAATAGAAACAGGAAGATTGGGAGGAATAGCTGGTTTGGGGAAGAAGAAAAGACAAACTCACTTTGAAAAATGTCGAATTTACAATAAATAATGAGAGGTAGACTTAGATAGACTTACAGTTAGAGAGCAGATGGAGAAAGAAGATGCAGCCAAGAAGATGCAAGAGCTCTCAGAGAAGTAAGGGGCTAATGAGGAAAGTACAAGGCCAGAGGATGGAGAGTTTTAAGGCATGGATAGTTAAAACTGAAATGTGCTAAAGAGAGATCAAGGACAAAGAGAAAAGGCAATTGGACTTGAATAAGTGACCTCCTAGTGAGCAGTTTCAATAAATGATGGAAAGGAGGAATAAATAGATTGCAGGAGGTTAGAGAAGTGATGAGGAAATGGAGTCAATAGATAGGGACCACTTCTTTGAGAAGTTTAATAGGAAAGTAAGGGGGGGTGGGGGATTAAGATTGTATCAGGGGTTAGGGACAACAGGCTTAAATGAAGGTTTTGTTTTTGTTTTTGGAATAAGAGGAGATCTGAGTACTTTTGAAAGTCAAGGCAAAGAAAGGTGCCAGTCAAAGAAGAAGTTGGATTGTTCCTTAATAGAAGGTTGGCATTTGGATCATCTATCATGGTAGACCTTTTAATACTTCTTCAGAGGATACAAAAGTGGGAAAAATTTCTTACTGCCAGTTCAAAAAGACTGAAGACAAGACGAAAAGAATCACCTTCTGTGCCAGTTGTAACTAAACTAATCTAGGGGCAAGCTGCAGGGTGAGACCTCTCCTGAGCTCAGAGGTTCTGTGGAAAAGCATATAACATCCTCAAATAAATTATTAAATTAACTAAGGGAAAATCCGTTGCCAGGAAGGCAGAAATGTGGTATTATGGTATTTCTTTCCCTTCTGATTAAACAAATCACATTCTAATGTAAGTGTAGCTGACCATTCAAAATCTGCATTCTACTAAATGCTGGTACTATTTATTCACTGTTTAATATACTTTGCATAGAATCCATACATTCTCTATTGTCTCTTGCTTTATTTAGAAATTTTAAAATATTAAATGGTTTCTATGATGGTAACTTAACATTGACTTTCTTTTCTTATAAATATAAGGTTTTAAAAAAATATTTTCCTTAAATACAGCCCTTGGTGTACAGACAATGAAATAAAGGATATCAAAGGACTAGAGAATTGTAGAAATCTAACTCATCTTAGCTTGGCCAACAACAAAATCACTAAAATGGAGGGCTTATGCAATTTACCAATCAAAATACTCTGTCTGGTGAGTCTAACAAAATTCTTGTTTTTCCTAAAGATATTAAAATATATTTTTAAGTTAGCATATTAATGTTCATTTCTTAGAATTTAAAAAATTTGTTAGTATTTTAATTGGTTCACAAAATGGGAAAACATTAATGTTTTATTTTGCTTTTTTTATAACATGCCCTTCTGCATAAGTGGTATCTCTTTTGCATATGTTATATGGCAAATAAAGATTAGCTAGTTTGATATCCAAATATTTTGAATTAATTTTTGAAACATGTTGGGCATTTCTGTATTGGAAAAATGGCATTCACAATAAGTTACAAAATATTTTTTAAAAATGAATAATGAGTAACCACCCATAACACATAAATAAATATTAGAATTTAGAAGCAATGAAAAAAACTATTAAGATTTTTAATCCCATAACTTTCTGTATGTTATGTTTCAGGTGACTGGCATGTGATACATTTTATTTTCCCAGTGTAGAATCAGTGAGAAGTTATGAGAGGGAATTATTAAACTTAACCAGTAGCATTTCATTTTTGGTGAATAAAGTGACATGTAGTGAGAAATTTCATATTATCATAGATTTAGAGAGGGGAGGGACCTTAAAAGTAATTTAGGCCACCTTTCTCATTTTACAGATGAGGAAACTGAGGCTGAGAGATTAAATGATTTGGCCCAACATAAAAATAAATTCTTTTATAAGGGAAAAAATCTGCCAGATTATTACCTCTCAATACACATATAGTGTTTCTGAAATAACTTCTGCCAATTATTTGGGGAATAATGATTTAATTTGTGGATTATTCAAGTCTCTAATTTCTCCTCCTTCCTACTCCTTGCCTTTGTTTCACTATTCTTTACCACAGCAACCACAGGTTGGGCAGGATGGTAGTAAATTTCAAGCTAGCTAAATTTGCTTTCTGGTCATGTCTTAGGTGAATATTTTGGTGAGGAACACGATTGGTTGAAATTGTTCTTTTAAATGAAATCTTGTATTATTTGTATCTTTTTAATTTTGTTGAATTTTATGTTCTTACCCTCTTTAACATAGAAAATTTAATATTGACTTTATTCTTGTTTCAAAGAGTTTAAAGTGCATTTTTGAGATTCACCATCCTATACTATACAATGAGGAAGTCTGGAGCAACATACTGCAATCAGATTATAGATGGTGCAATTGAAGCACAGAGAGAGAGAGAGAGAGAGAGAGAGAGAGAGAGAGAGAGAGAGAGAGAGAGAGAGAGAGAGAGAGAGAGAGAGAGAGGGAGAGAGGGAGAGGGAGAGAGAGAGAGGAGAGGGAGGGAGAGAGGAGGGAGGGAGAGAGAGAGAGAGAGAGAGAGAGAGAGAGAGAGAGAGAGAGAGAGAGAGAGAGAGAGAGGAGAGAGAGAGAGAGAGAGAGAGAGAGAGAGAGAGAGAGAGAAGGAGAGGGAGAGAGAGAGGAGAGAGAGAGAGGAGGGAGAGAGAGAGAGAGAGAAGAGAGAGAGGAGAGAGAGAGAGAGAGAGAGGGAGAGGGAGAGGAGGGGAGAGAGAGAGAGAGAGAGGGAGAGAGGGAGAGAGGGAGAGAGGGGAGAGAGGGAGAGAGAGAGAGAGAGAGAGGGAGGGAGAGAGGGAGAGGGAGGAGGGAGGGAGGAGAGAGAGAGGGAGAGAGAGAGAGAGAGAGAGAGAGAGAGGAGAGAGAGAGAGAGAGAGAGAGAGAGAAAGAGGGAGGGAGAGAGAGAGAGGGGGGAGAGAGGGAGAGAGGAGAGAGAGAGAGAGAGAGAGAGAGAAGAGAGAGAGAGAGAGAGAGAGAGAGAGAGAGAGAGAGAGAGAGAGAGAGAGAGAGAAGGGAGGGAGGGAGGTAGTAATTTGCCTGAGGCTACAGAGTAAGTTGATTAAAGGGATCAAGATCCAATCCACCTGACTTTAGATCGTATATTCTGTCTGCTCCACCATGTTCATGAACTCACCTAGCTAAGTGAAAATCCGAGTGATAAATAGAAATGATATATCTGGAAAGGTAATAATTTGGAGTATTATTGGCAGCATTTATAATGGATTTTTATTACTTGGGGGGTCATATCCTTACTATAGAGCGTACACATGTGCTTGGCGCTCCCATTTACTTCAAGTGGTGTGATTCAAGGATGATATGTGGGAGTGCTAACGGGGATAAGAATTAAATCCATTACTAAGGATGGTACTCATGGCACTATCGTATTTAGAGTGTATTCCGAACAATAAATAATCCATATTGACATTTTTTTCTTAAGCATATTTTAGGAAAAGCAGCACGTCCATTTAATCTTTTCTCCAGAATCGATTAGGGGGATTTCCCTTTCTCACCACAAAGAGGAGTTTGTGCAAACATGGAGTATAGTGTCTTTCAGTTTTCTTTCAATCATTTGAGAATAAATGTTCTTTTCTGTTTTTTCATTGTCGTACTGCAATGAGATTACACACACATTCTAGACTTTGTTTGCTTAATTTCCTTACCAATTTAAACACAGCCAATTACTTCATTTTAAACCCCATTAAAAAGGATTTTTTTTTATCATTAATAGGAAGGATAAAGAAAAACATTCATTATCAAAAGCAATTATTAATTCTCTGGCACCAGCTTTCACTGTAAACTGAAATGTAAATTCATCTCAAGAAATGACAATGAATTCCAGACTTTAAAATTCAGTTTCCCTGAAGTAAAACCTATTTTCTTATTCAGGATAGCAGAGTTTATGTATATTTCTAGTTTCATTACTTTTATGAAATGGTTTATCTCTTTTGAGTTTATATCTTCATGTATCATTTCATAAGAATTTCTTCTTATAACTAGCAGAATCCAACTAGGAAGTTCAAGAGATATGGAACATTTTCTTATTTGTTCTGTGACTTTAGGCTCTCCAATTATATGCATAGCCCAGCTAACATTTTTAATTGGTTCCTCTGTGTTAGATGAAGGGGTGTAATAAGAGCAGTTAGCTAAAATTGCTGCAGATCCTTTGATTTGCAAAGCTTTGTGACATTATTCCAAGTTTTGGTAATGATGTATTAATGACATTGTTGTGAAATTGTGCTAGTTGGGGATATGTTTTGTAGTATATGCCTACAGACCTCTCTAAGCCTCAGTTTTACTATCTGTAAACTATGTAACAGAGCTATTGTAATTATGATTTCATTGGAAGGGGCATAGTGGACTGAGTGATAAGTCTTAAGTTAATCAAACTTAAGTTTGAATCCTGCCTTTTATACTTACTAGCTAGCTGTATGACTCTGGGCCAGTTACCTCACATTTCTCAGCCTCAGTTTCCTTATTTGTAAAATGGGGATAATATTAGGACATACCTCGCAGGGGTTGTTATAAGGATCAAATGACATAACATTTATAAAGGACTTTACAAATCTCAAAGTGCCAAATGAACATTAGTTAGTTATTATTATGAATTATTTAAAGTATCTAAAGCATTTTAAACATCATTGGGCGGGGGCAGCTAGGTGGCACAGTGGATAGAGTGCCAGCCCTGGAGTCAAGAGAACCTGAGTTCAAATCCAGTCTCAGACCAGACAGTTGACACTTACTAGCTGTGTGTCACTTAACCCCAATTGCCACATCAAAAAACAAAACAAAAAAAATCATTGAGAAAAAGTAGCTGCAAAATTGATAAATTGCATGGTGTTTTGTTTTGTTTTTTACTACAAGGGTATCTATATTTGAATTATATTCATATGAATATTGGTGGTAAATAGGCATATTAAATATGTTCAATTTTTTTTCTTCCTCCGTGGTTTTACCTTTTATCTCTATTCCTATTATACCATTTACCCTGTCCAAGTCCTTAAGCTCTAAGGAGTAGTAAATTTCATTTTAACTACAGAAAAAGGAATATAGGACATATTTTTAAAATGTCTTCTTCTTGACTTAAAAATAAATAATGAGTTCTGCTTAATGAAGAGAACTCTTAGGAATTTTAAACCTTCAAAGTGTCATTTGGGAGCTACTTACAGAATCACTTTTTTGTTTCCAGGACTTGAAAGATCAGCAATTTTAGAACTTTTTTTCTTTTACTCTATTAAAATAAATCCTTATGAGAAATAGTAGGTGAATATTGCTATTAATAGCCTAATTAAAAATTTACAAGTCAGGAAAAATGTTAGAGATGCTCAGCCAGGTCAACACCATAATTTTCATTTCTTGAGTTTTTAAGTATTTATTGAAAGGACAGAAAAAATGTTAAATAATTATACACAACATGACATTAATGGGTGATGATGCTGAGAATGACAGTTTTAGTTTACCAACTTAAACTGAAAATACAATTTTTTAGTGAGAGTCATAGAACTCAAAGTTAACTCAAGGAGCAATAGAGATAATTGTGTTGGCAACCACCTCTCTTCCTGGGAAGTGTTGTAAAATTGTTATAAAATTCAAGGTATTGCTATTATTGTTTGTGACTATGAGAACAGAAAGGTGAGGGTTGGACAAGAAGGCAAAATTTGCCTTGTATGCTTTCTTTTCCATTTTCATTGTCTGAAAGGATACTTATACATGAGTAATGGACCTTCTAATAAAAGAAAAGGCTTATTCTTGAGCAAGTTTTTGAGAATAGGGTAATTGTATAAAGCTGTTGACATTCAAGAGGTCTTTTATTAAAGAATTGCATCAAATTTCTATTTCTAATGATAAGCTTCAAATTATGCTGCCATTTATTTAGTCTTTCAGAATTTTATTTTTCCTGTCAATTAAAGAAGGGAATAATATTCATTTTTCCTTAATGGGAATGAAGATAGTGTATATTGGGGGCAGCTAGGTGGAGCAGTGGATAGAGTACCGGCCCTGAAGTCAGGAAGATCTGAGTTCAAATGCGGCCTCAGACCAAACACTTGACACTTGCTAGCTGTGTGACCCTGGGCAAGTCACTTAACCCCAATTGCTTAAAAAAAATTTAAAAATAAAAAAAAAGATAGGGTACATTGGGACTTACACCCAATTGGATTCATTCATCCGTTCTTTCCATACATTGAGTAGATAGACCCATTATGGCCAGCTTCATATGGGCAAGAATCACCCCAGATGGTATATTTGTGATCTACATCATTGAAAGGAGCTCCCAAATTGATGAAATCCATTTGAGTACTGAGTATTTGAATATTTATTCACTCATTCATTCAGTATGTGAAGGAATGAGGAGACTTACTACTTCTTACCAGATTTTGAACAGCATTAAAAATGAAAAAATAGTCGCTTAGGCACAATAACGATATTCGTTGTCAATAACCTAAAGCAAAATTAAAAGTATGCTTGATCAATTTTAGAGCAGTAACCAGATTGAGGAAATAACTTGCTTGGACAACCTGAAAACACTGCAGAACTTGGACTTATCTGGAAATAAAATCAGTAGCTTACAAGGCATAGAAAATCATGACCTTCTGGAAATAATCAACCTAGAGGATAATAAGGTAACATCATATATAAATAGTTTTTTTTCTTAAGATAATACGTTGATGACTATGAGCTCCTTGAGAGCAAGGATTGTCTTTTACCTTTCTTTGTATCCCTAGGTCTTAGTACAGCACCTGGCACAGAGTAGGTGCTTGAGAAATGTTTGTTGACTGACTGCCTGACTTACCACAATATTATTTGTAGTAGTTTCTGAAAGGTTGTCAATTACATCATATTTTTCTCTCAAGACTGCATCCAGAATTTTTGATCAAATAGTTCAGAGATCTGCTACCTCCACATTTTTGGGTAGAAGGATGAATAACCGGCATTTGGCAGCTCTGGGATGTTGGCTCTAGGAAAATAATGGTGTCCAAATAGCCTGAGAGGAGGCTGTCATCAATAGTATTTAAAAGGAAGATTTCAGTGCCTGAAAAAGTGAAGTCTTTTATTTTGTTTCAAATACAATAGCACCCACCTCCCGTTAGATTCAAAGAAGACAGAAATTCACAAACTCATCTTTGTGGTATGCAAGGGTAATTCACCTAATCTCTTCCTGAGAAAAGATAGAATGGGTGTACTGCTTTTCCTAAATGATACCTAAGTAAAAAATTGCCATTATGGTAATGTACTTGGAGTGCAGGTTGAGACTTTTTTTTTTGGACTTGGCTAATGTGGGAATTGTTTTCCTTGACTATACATGTTTGTAACGATTTTTGTTTTTCTTGTTTCCTAGGTTGGGGGAGGGATGTGGGAAGGAAAAAAACTGCAGGCCTGAAAATAGAATAAATTTTGATTTAAAATTTTAATACAATACAATGTTCCAACTCTGCATAATGAATAACTAATTACATTTATTCAGATCCCCACACCACACTTAATTCACATTACTTCCCAAATTATGCAAATTGTTTTCTGCTTTTAATGACACTTTATTTTTTAATAAAATATAGTTCAATGCATAAAGTATTAAGTTGGTAGACTTGGCTGATTTGTCCTGTAGTATGGCTTAAGAAATAATTTTGTTCACATTGGGGACTTTGCCTGGTTTGGGAAAGGTTTATTCTTGAGAAAAGCTCTAGGCTTCCTTCCCACATAAATTAAGGATGTGATTGGTCTTGGTAGGGAGTGTCAGTGCTGTGTAGAGCCAGATGTTGTGTTATGTAAGCATTTCCCCATTCAAGAATACTAATGCCCCCCTCAGTTCTAACCTATGACTCCTCATTATTCAGGGATTTAGAATAAGTAAACGTTCCAAGGAGAGGGAAGAGAACATTTTAAAACATCTCAGATGAAACTGCCGATAATCAAATCTTTTTATTTGCACATTGACCTGAATTTGCTTTCAAAATAAAGGAATTCTTCGTCACAGTCCAGTTTGAAAGCTCTGTAGTTCTGTAAGCAGCTACACTCCCTACTTGGCATTCAGAGGCTTCTAGGAGAGCTGTCCTTGTCACCTGCTCAAAGGGGTATTCCCAAATATGGGAACACACCTTATTTTCCTTTGCATTAGAATAAAATTTGCAAATCAAGTTTGTCATTCAGAAATTGAAAGAAAAAGAATCACTGTTAAACAAATAAAGGTGCTGATGATTTTTCAGAGATGTCATCATGACTCCATTGAAAACTATCTTTCCCTTCTCCCTCACCTTTATTTCATGGATGAAAGACTGGTTTTGGAATGCTGAATATAGGGTCAGATTTTTCAATACATTTCTTAGTTTTGTGGAACAGCTTTCTTCTGTTATCCTTTGTTAAAAAAAGGATGGTTTTCTGGGAAAGAGAGGAAGAGGAGTACATTGGGAAATGTAGGTGATATAATAACAAAATATAACAATAACATTTTTTTTTTAAAAAGCAAAGCATAACAATGCCAGTAGGTCCCTTTGGCAACAGCTGAACCTGAGGGTTTAAAGGACCCCCTCTGATCTGTAACCAGGTTCTTTTACTGTCAATATCCTCTGGCAGGAGTACTTTATTTAGATAGATATAGGGCAACTGGAGTCAGTCCATTCAGAATAACCAGTATCTCAGGGCCTGGGCCCCCATGCCCAGCTTGGCAGCACTCATGAACCCTTAACATCATGCCTGGGATAACATATTTGTTACTGAATTCCCAATGTTCTGTGGTCCTTTTCCTTACATTCATTGTCTGCTTCACAGGTATTATTTCTTCAGGAATTCTGTAGCAAATTCTATCTTCCTAAAAGTAGGGGAGAATCTAGCCCAAGATATAATTTTATATTTTAGTTATCCATAGTCCATCGCTATCAGAAAAATAGCCAGGATGATCTGGTGAACCATTTGCCTCACATGCTTCCAGGTTAACATCTGGGTAGTTTTCTTGCTAGATCACAATTCCCTCACAAATAATAACACCTCCCACACTTGGATGCTTTTAGACTTTTGCTTAAAGTCCCGCAGGAAGATACCTGCCCCCTCTGACCTTTACCGATGGGGACAATGATCTATCTGTACATGATCAATAATAGCCCCTTGATCTGGAAGCTCAAGGAAGCAGATCTACCTTATGGAAGTTAGGTCAACTGACACTATTGAGCTGCTCTCCCGTTTTCCACACTGTCTGACCATTAGACTGATTGCCCCACTGCAAACTTTGACTAGAAGTATGACCCCGTTCTATGGTAGATTTACTCTTAGGGTCATAGGATCTTGAGCTGGAAGGAAACATTAGACCTAGAGCTGAGAGCTCATTTGGTCTAGCCCTCTGATTTCCGAGATGAGGAAACTGAACCCCAGAAAAGATTAGCAATTTGTTCAAAATCTTGTAAGTAATAAATAGCAGAGCTAGATTTTGAACCAAAGTCCTTGGACTCCAAATCTAGCATTCCTTCCACTGTGCCACCTTGTTGCTTTCAGGCTTATACTCCTATATCCAATCAAGATTTAGTTGGTATGTCAAGATTTATCAAGATTTTATCTGGCATTCTGTGCTGACCCCCTTAAATCCCTCTTCAATAGCCTCTCTTTTCTCCAGATCATCACTTTTCTTTCTAAAGTGACAGATCAAGGACAGGAAGAATTCTTAATTTCAAGGTGGCATATGGAAAATTTGTTTTCTAGGCTGCTAGCTAGTGCAGTGGATAGACTCTAGACCTATTCTGCCTTAGACTCTTATTAATTGTGTGACCTTGGGCAAGTCACTTATCCTTGTGTTCCTCGGTTTCCTCATTTGTAAAATGGAAATAATAATAGTATCTGCCATCCAGGGGTATTATGAGAATCAAATGAGAATGTCTGTAAAGCTTTTTGTAAACCTCAAAGCACTATATAAATGCTAGCTGTAATTTGTATTATTTTCTGTTAAAATGGGTGGTGTATGTTATGAAAGAATGATACAGGGGGGCAGCTAGGTGGCGCAGTAAATAGAGCACCAACCCTGGATTCAGGAGGACCTGAGTTCAAATCCAGCCTCAGACACATAACACTTACTGTGTGACCCTGGGCAAGTCACTTAACCCCATTGCCAAGGATGGATGGATGGATGGATGGATGGATGGATGGATACAGAAATTCTATGGAAAGGTTTTATTGTTCCACAAAAGTCCACAAGTCAGTTCTCTTGAAACATCAGGGCCTCAAAGAAAGGTGAGAACACCCAACCAGGAGAGATAATATTATGAGTTAATACTCAAATTTCTGTCTAGGCCCCAGTTAGGGACAGAATTCCCCCTTGAACTCCCAGGTCTCTGACATCCTAATGGATACAGTCAGCAGTCGTTAAGTACAGGCCTGCCTACACCCAGCACAGAACATAAAACAAGGCAGAAAGCAAATGGCCTCTGTTCTTGGTTGAGGATTAAACGTCACTCCCTAACTCTGACCTCTTGAGTTCTGGACTATGCCATGTTACCCTGCTTCCCTGTAATATAGCTGACTTTTTTAGATTTGACCCCTGACTCGGCTGTGGTACCTGCTGGACCCATGTTTTTATGGAGGCTAATTCCTGGTCCTCGTCTTTCCTGGCTAACCCTGCCCCATCACAGTTCATACTCAGGCATGTCACTAATTTTGACTGTTTTCATCCTCATTTTTCCCCCTAATTGTTTCCCTCCCTTAGCCTTGATATTTTTATTTTATGGTCAGCATCTTCCTTGTGCACAAGCAGTCTGGGAAGAGCTTTGGGGGCATCAGAGGAGTATCAAGTGTCTTTAATAGCGTGTACGTGGCACTCTCTAAATGTTCGTTGATGGACTCATTGTCAGCTTTCCTTCAGCATTTGATTTTCTGTCATAACCAGCAGTTGAGTTGTGTTGTAAGGAGAAGGAATGGTCTTATTTGCTTTTCCAAAATTGTTAGCTCCCTCCCTTCTTTCTCTTCATTATCTCTATTCTCCTGGAAGAACTCAGCATTATGAGTACTTGAGGGAAGTGCCATATACTCCTAGGCCAGGGATGGGGAACTTATGGCCTCGAGGCCACATGTAGCCCTCTAGGTCCTCAAATGCAGCCCTTTGACTGAATCAAGGCCATACTTGAGGACCTAGAGGGCCACATGTGGCCTCGAGACCCCAGGTCCCCCACCCCGTGGACCTAGGCCCTTTCCATAAATCCCTGTAGGGACCTGCCCTCCTTGCCTTGGCCCATTCTACATCAACGATCTAGCCCCCAACTGGCATATGACCTTTTTCCTTTTGTGTATGTATAATTAACCATTAGCTTATAAGCCCCCTTCTAGGTATGGAAATCCCTCCTAGCGTGAGGTTTTAAAAGGTCCTTCCCCCATTATTGCACCAGCACAGTCACTCTCTCCATTTTGCTCCTTTTGCCCCAACTAATGTTTAGTAAGACCCACTGCCTCCTACTGGGTCCAACTCTTACAAAAATGGTGTTTCCAATGAATCAATGAACCCTATCTATCCACATAGACCTTGAGACTAAGTTGCTATAAACAGGCTTTCTCAGAAAAATCAGCATATACTTCTTATTTGCTTATTATCTTTCTTCACCAGGTTGTCCTTTGAAGACCTCTCAATGCCTTGGACCCATTGAGACTTAAGATCTCATTCCCTCTGCATCTCTGTGTTTGACAGGCCATTGTCACCATGCAATGGAAAAAAAGCATATGGATTTCCCCCCCCCCCAAGTGATAGTTTCCTTGCCAAGCAAGCTTCTAAGTATTAACCTATTTTTCCTTTTTTCTATTTGAGAAATACCCCCAGCTTCTTGGTAAATCATCGCCAATCTTTACAGCTTGACTTTTGACCCAAACAGTGTCTGTTAAAAAGAACCATGACCCTTTCCATGGATCACAATGTTTTTAAACAAGGCAGAGCAAGGTTCGTAAAGTCATGTAGGGTGATCATATTTTACAGCAAGATTCTAAAGCCCAGTAAATGGAATCCCAAGGTCATAGAATTTTAGAGTAATAATTGATCTTAGCGTTCATCTAAGTGACTTTCTTTGTAGATGAAGAAACCAAGGCTAAAAGTGAAATCATTTGCCTGAGATCACGTAGTAACTAGTAGCAGAAGTTGGATCAGAGTCCAGATCTTTCCTTCTCACACAGAGTCGGATGAGAGGGGTCAGGCCAGGGAGAGCCCATATTTGGAGTCAGAGAAGCAGGATTTGGCCTTTGGGTCTTGGTTTCCCGATCTGTAAAACAAACCTAAGATGAAGTTTCAAAGCCCTTCCAGATCTGAGTCTGTGACCTGTGATACGGATGACCTTGACAATAATGGACTGTGTAGAAATGGAAAGTGTGCGGCAGAACCCAAAGACATAAGGAAAGGATTTTCTTTGAGTTAGAGAGTTACTGGAGAGGGGTAGAAAGGATGGGGGAAAGTCTAACCAACTGACTGGTCTATTAGTTGACACATTCTTTACATCTTTATAAAAAGAGTCAATTCTTATGGCCTTAGAGCTTTCCCCAGCAGCTGACATTTCCCTTCTCTTAGCTTCATGTGCTGACCAGAAACTGCTGAGCTGCTTGGAATTTTTATTAAGAATTCTAGATACCCTAGTAATAAAGCAGTAATTTCCAGATGCTATAGACTTCGCTAACAAGCCCCTGAGGGTACATGGATCCTTTTTTTTTAATACTACAATCAAAAACTCTCTACTCAAATTGACTTGTGTAGAATGTGTCCAGAAATGGGAGACAATAGTCCGTTTTTCTGTGTTCAGGCTCAGAAAGCCTGAACATTATGAGTCCCATGTTCTTACCCTGCAGAATGCTACAACATAAAAAAGGAGGGGAGTTTAACCCTTTTTCTATGGACTGGCCTAATGGAAGTCCGAGTGGTACTTCTTTTTTCTACCTTGGTGTGATACATAGCAAAACATAACATATATACAAATGTTCTCTCCATTTTGAGGGTTTAGAAATATTTTGGATTTCGGCTATTTTACTGCTGAGCAGCAGAGATTTTGTTTGTCTAGGCAGAGTCGTGATGTGGTTTTCCTTTACTGCACTATTGGAGGGCTCCTGTCACATTTGGAAAAGTGCCTGTGGGAAAAATAAGAAAAAAGAAAAGGCAGTTATGGGCTTTTGGGAGCCTCACTAACCATATGTAAAAGAAAAATCATAGCAATATTACTTACAGGCAATGGAAATAGAAATCTCTTTATACCCAGCTGCTGAAACAATATGGATGGAGAATTGATGACACCTGTTGGCTAAGCAGCCTTTCTTCACTACACATGAACTTTTGTATGAGAAACATTTTCTAGTAACATAACATTTCTGTTGTCTCCTGAGAGCTTGAAAAAGAATGTAAGAGATTTGTCTAGGAGACTCTGCACATTATCAAAATTATGTAATCTTTGATTTTGATTTGTCAAGTGTTCTCTTGGTTAATACACACAAACATATCTATATCTATCTGATAAAGTTGTATTGTGGGTGAGTAAATTGCAACCAACATAAATAATTCTAATAGTGGCCCAGCAAATCCCATGTGTTTTTTGTTTGTACAACTTCCTGATCTGTTCACTGTATTTGATTTCTGACTTAAAATAACTATGAAGAAGGTGTAGAATGTCAGAACCATAATTGGCTGTTCACTGCCCAAAGGAGTAAAAATTTAACAAATGTACTTCTGGGTGAGAGTTCCCATTCTGTAGAGGCTAATGCATCTTTTCCAGTCCTGTAGAGCACAAATAAACAACAGAATAATCTTTGTAGCATGCCAAATTGGAAAAACCCCAATGACTCCTTCAATTTTTTTTGTTTTTGTTATTTAGTTTTGTGCTAATATTGTGTTTCTGTGATTAAACAGATTGCAGAGTTGAGTGAAATAAAACACATTGAAAACCTGCCACTTCTTCGGGTGCTCAATCTTTTAAAAAACCCTCTTCAGGTAAGATGCAACAGATACTGGAAAGAAATGAAATGGGCTTTCATTTAATCAATTATCTCTAAGCAGAACTTTTGGTAAAGAATATAGAGAAACATAAATGTGTCCATCTTTATCACCTCATCTTAAGAATATTTGGGAAAATTAAGTGGCAAATCACCCTCAAACTCTTGTTATTAAAATTAGAAGCACTCTTTTTACTCGACTATCTTTTTCTTGTCAGTTGTTTTTCAGTCATGTCCGTTTGGAGTTTTCTTGGCAAAGACGCTGGAGTGATTTTCCATTTCCTTCTCCAGCTCATTTTACAGATGTGAAAACTGAGGCAAACAGGGTTAAGTGACTTGCCTAGAGTCACACAACTAGTACGTATCTGAGGCTGGATTTGAACTCAGGGAGATGGCTCTTCTGGACTCTGGGCCTGGTAGTCTCTCCACTGTGCTACCTCGCTGCCCCTGTCTTTTTCTTAGTCTACACAATTTCAGGCCCCCTCCCCATATCTTTGCTGACTAGCAAGCTTAAGGTCATGCAACTTCCACTGAAAGCTGAGCCCAGTACTGAATATCGAACTTGACTGCTTTGGGGCCATTTTTCACTCACCTTGAGTAGTATTAAAAATTTTACTAGAGAAGCTACTGATGTTGTAGATTAATGTTTCTTTGGATTGGCCAAGACACCAATGGTTTAAACAGAAAATATTGTGTAATAACAGGAAGAAGAACCTACCGGAATAGGTCTCTGTGCTGATTTTCTGGGAAAGAGCATTTTATTTGCCATGAAATTACTACAAACTAAATAATGCATTTCCCCCCATTCCATCATCCTTTTTCTCAGTCGCTTACAATATTTGCCCACTTGCTCAGCTTCTCCCTTCTATGAATCTATTTAATCACCCATCTTGTGTCTCTCCTACCTACTCGCAGTTTCACTTATTCTTCACCAATGTTTTATAAAATGTCTATGTTTTGTCTACAAATATCTTTTTCAAAAGGGAACAGATAACCTCAAATTACTGCCCTGGGCACAATCACCCTTATGTGAGAATAGCGTCAACTGCTATACTTTCCCTATCAGAGAGATATTAACAGGGTTTGAGGTTTAAGTCTCACTAAGAGCTTATTCACACTCCTGTAAATCTTAACACACATTCTTTGACAGCCACTTGCACAAACACAAACACATAGTTATCTTCTCTTTATTAAGTTCATAGCCACATGTTAACATTCTGAGATGGGTATTTTCACATGCTCCTTCAAATACTCAGTTGCCCAAGCAATTGAGTTTTTTCCATGATAGTTCCTTGTATAGAGATAAGTGCACATTCACGAGCTTGTGTATATATGTAGTGTGTGGCTAAGAGAGAGCAGAGAGGGCACTTGATTGGGTGGGTTAGAAGACAGTGGAGAGAGTCGATAGATAACATAAGTGAATGACTTTGGTTGGGCGGAGGAAAGGTTGAAAGGTGAGCAAGATCATGGGAGGATTCTGGGGTTTGTTTATGTGAGAAAGTGACTGAGAACTCTCCCTCATCTTCTTGACAGGAGAAACCTGACTATTGGCTCTTTGTCCTTTACACATTGCCTCGACTAACAGAATTAGATCGGAAGAAGATTAAAGTGGAACAAAAGGTACTGTCCTTAAGGTCTGATAATAATTCACAGAATTACAGAATGTGAGAATCAGAAGGGAACTCAGCAGACCATATAATACCAATGCATGCATGAAAGTAATCCCAACTGTAACATGACCAACAAAGAGTCATTCAGCCTCCGCTTGAAGACCTCCAAGAAGGGAGAACCCATTGCCTTTCCATGCAGTCCATTCCATTTTCAGATAGCTCTAATTCTGGGGAAATTTTTCCTGAAATCAAACCTGAATTGGCCCTTTTACAACTTCCTCACATTGTTCATGATTCTGCCTTTTGGGGCAAGTCTGATTTCCACCCCTCATTCTCCTCTGTCATCTCCTCTCCAAATCTTCTCTTTTTCGGGCTAAATATGTTTCTTCAAATAGTCCTCATGTATCATGGACTCTAGGCCCTTCCCCGTCATGATTCCCTTTCTCTAGACACTGTTCCTGTTTTTCAATGTCTTTCTTAGACAGTGGTACCCAGAACTAAACATCACGCTCTGGATAAGTTCTGATGAGCGCAGGTTATAGGGAGGGTATCACTGCCCTATTCCTTGAAATTACATCCTTCTTAATGCAGCCCCAACGATTGCATTTTTGGGGTGTGCTACATTGCATTGCTGATCCATAGGAAGCTTATAGGCTGCTAAAACCACCGGCTTTCTTTTCTCTTCAGAATAACTGCTCTCTATCAATGTCTCTCCCATTTTATATTTGTGAGGTTGATTTTTTTGCACCCAACTGCAAGAATTTACATTTATTCCAATTGATTTTCATCTTATTAGATTCAGCCTAATGATCTTATCAAGATCCTTTGGATTCTATCATTCACTGCATTAGCAATCCCTCCTGGTTTTGTGTCATTTGTAGATTTGATGTGTATATCATTTAGGTCTTTATCTAAGTCACTGATAAAAATGTTAAATTGTCCAAGGCCAAGTACAAATCCCAGGATTTGTCCCTTTTTTTCTTTTTGCCGTTTTATTTTGGTTCTCTACTTGTTTGTGGCTATTTCTTGGTCCCCTTCTCAGGTTCGCCTTCCTCCCCTTGCCCTCTAAGGGTGGAGGTTCCCTCTAAGCCCTAATCTTGGCTCTCTTCTTACCTCTTTACTCTTTTAGTGAACTTACTTACTTTCATGGCTTCAATTTTTCTCCTCTATATTTTTAGTTCCCAAATTGATCTCCTTTCCCAAAGCTGCAATGCCACATTTTAACTGCCTGCTAAACATCATCGTCTGAAGATGCTTCCTAAACCTCCAGTTCAACATATCCAAAATTGGAGTTATCTTTCCCTCAGAAACCATCCACACTCTCAAATTCTCTTTTTGGCACTACCATCCTCTCAGGGTGCAGGACTAAAAGCTATGAACTCAATCTTTGGCTATTCAATCCAGTCCAATCCAACATGGATTTTAAAATTTCCTAATATATGTAAGATGCTGTGCTAGGTTCTGGGGATGTAAAGATGAAATGAAAAACATCCCTTGTCTTCAAGAAGGTTGCATTCTTTTTAAGATACGGCATACAAATGGACACGTTCATCCATGATAGTTTGAAGACAAGAGAAAGCACTAACAACTAGGAAGATAAGGAAAGTATTCCAGTAGAAGGTGGTGCATGAGAGGAACCTGTAAGAAAAAGATGGAGATGAGGAGAGAGGGTATTCTGGACACTGGGGACAGCCTCTCCAAAGGCAGGGAGGGAGAATCAAAGATGTTGGATTTGTTGAAGAAGGAGGCCATCTTGTCTGGAATGCAGAGTGTGTGAAGGGGTGCAATATGAAATAATTGACAAGCAATAGATGTACCTGCTATGTACTAGACATTACGCTAGGTGCTAGGGATGCACATACAGAGAGTGAAACCATCCCTGCCCTTGAGGAGCTTATATTCTTAGCTTGGAAAAATAGTGGAGCCAGACTAACAAGGGCTTTAAATGCCAAGTTGAGGCATTTTTATTCTATCCTAGAGGGATACACATCTAAACAAATTAAAGATATAGACAGCCCTCTCTTTCTTGGCACTTATAGTCTAAGCCAGACAATTATAGTATCAATAGAGATTTTAAAATTTAAAAAATATTTAAATCATTAAGCAACTGAACAGAGTAAAACATGTTGCCTTAACCCAGTGATCTATCACTTTAATGCTTCACTACCAAGAATGACTAAAGGTCAAGAAATCAAAGGATTCTAGGGTAGTAATTAGAATCTAGTGATCCTAGAACCTCTTTAATCCTTAGTTTCCTATAATTCTTTACCTGGGAAACATTGCTCCTGGTCAATCCCCGTAGTCCCATTCCTCTATTTCTGCTTCAGAGGCTTTTGAGTTTTGTGGGAGAAATTCAAAGCTGATTCTACCTAATATTTCACTGATATTTTTAGCACATAATCTCAGCTGGATTCTTGCTATGCTCCACAGTCCTTCTACTCTACCCTTATTGATGATCTATTTCATTCCTCATCTATCATCCCTTATTTTTCCTTATCTCCTTTTTTATCCCCTCCCTCCCAAATTATAGGAGATTGCCTAGTTTCTTATTTCAGAGATTACTGAGGCCATTTTATATGAGTTCTCTTACCTCTGTTATCTCCTCTCCTCCATTCTGCATAACTTCCCTAACATCATTACCTTTCCTTCCTTTTGGTCACAGAAGTGGTATACCTTCTCAGTACTAAGACCAATATCTTTAACTATTCCCCTAATCCTATTCCTTCCTGCCTCCTCCAATACCTTGCTCAGTTCCAGAAGCATCTTTCTCAAAAGCTTCTCTTTGTTATTATTCTTCAATCTCCCTCTTCCTATTTGTTTACAAACATGCAGATTACCCTAATCCTATAAAAGCATTTCCTTGACCCTTCTAATCCATCCATTTACCACCCTATCTCTCCACTGCTAATCTCAGAAAAATTTTCTACACTCCACGTTTCCATACCCTCACTCCCCTCTCTTCTCTTCTCCTCTTATAACATGGCATCCACCTCCAACATTCTAGGAAAACTTCTCTAGAGTGAGTCAATGATCTCCTAATTGTCAGATCCAGTGGCCTTTTTTATAAAGCTCTCATCTTCTTTGATCTCTCTGCAGCTTCATCATTGTTGATCAACCCCATGTATTTAATACTCTTTGGCTTTGCTTTAAGAGACACCACAGTCTCCTGCTTCTCTTCCTCTTTCTGTAAATGCTCCTCCTATAAGGGTCCATCCTAACCTTCTTTCTGCCCCGCATTGGCATTCTCATCTGCTCCCTGTGACCTCTCTGCAGGTGATTTTCAAATCTCCATTTCTTGTCCTAGACCTCTCTTCTGCCTAGACTCCATCTCCAGCTGCTCTATAGGACCCCCTTCCTGCATGTCCCAGTAAAACCTCACACTCAGCATGTTCAAAACTGAGCTCATTATAAAACCATGGGATTATTTTTCGTTCTTTCTTTTGCCTTGCCTCTCCTATAAGATCAGTTATCAAGTACAGTAAGTCTCACTTTTTCAGTATCTTATGCATCCTGCACCCTTCTTTGTTGTCACTGTCATCTCCTTAGTACAGGTTTTCCTTAATATCTGCCTAGACTCTTGGAACAGACGCCAACAACTCTTCCCACCTCCAGTTAATTCTCCTCCAATTCATCCTTTATCCCATCACAAGAAGCACTTTTCTCATACATATCATGTCATTCCTTCACTCAAAAGTATTCCATAGCTCCTGCTGAGCAACGTACAGCCTCTTCTGTCTGGTATGCAAGACCCTTACCTTCTGAGGCCACCCTACCTTTCCAAAGGTATTTGGGATTTCCTATTACCTATTATTTGCCTTCACCCACTCAAGCTGACTGTGCTACTTGAAACTCAATGTTCTCGTCTCTCCCCTCTGAGCAGACACACTGGGATCTCCATGCTTTTGGAATGTTCTACTTTCCTCTTTCACCCGTGGTATCCCTACTCATATGTAAAAGTCCAATCCTCCATGATGCTTTGTTTGGCTTTAAATCTCTACTACCTAGCACCTAGTAGGTACTTGATAATTGCTCATTTAATTGAATTAATCTCCCTTGTTGATGAACTTCCCTCTTCTATTTCACATAGCATTTTTTAAAAAATTTTCTAATACTTAGATAAAATATTGGGTATTATAGCTATTTGTTTTTGGTGTATTTTCTCTCCATAATAGACTGTAGGGTATATCTTATTATTTAATCTAAAATCTGTGCCTTTCCCACTAATATTAGATGAACTGCAAAGGCCTTCCCAACTCTTAACACTCTGTGATTCTTATTTTAAAAGGTTATTTTGAAATTTTAAAAATACTGTACACATTGATTAATAAAAAGGAAGTTTAAAGGGAACATTATCAAAATCCTCCATTACTATTCGTTACTAAGGATGGATTAGAAAAATAGGCAACATTGATATTGAGAACTATAAATTTAAGCTATTCCCTCCTTTCATGATAAAAATTGGATTTTTGAAATCTATCACATATAATCACAGCTTTAAAGCTTTGTTTACTTCATCCTCTCCCCAAACGCAAGTTGTAAATGAGTAAATAAAGAACAGCTCAATTTCCACTTATTATTTTCTGTTCGTTTGTCTCAGGAGTTCATTTATTCTCAGGAGTTGAATTGGGTGAGGAGTCTTTAATAAGCTAAACAGGAGAACTGGAACTTTTAATTAGGAAACACCTTTCTCCTCTTTATATAGAGATTTGCTATGGTGACATCATCTCCCTTCTCTCTCTCTCTCCCCCTCTTCCCTGCCCCACTCCCTTCCATTTTTACTTCTGGAAACAGGTTGAAGCATTGAACAAGTACAACCCTCCCCCTGAAGTAGTTGCCGCTCAGGATCATCTGACCCACATTGCAAACAGCATGATGCAGCCTCAGAGGATCTTTGACAGGTAGGTGCATTTAGCCATCCATGGCCCACACTCGGGACCATACATGGGTGATGCTCAAGCTCACCAAAGCAGCCCAAGATGTTTATTGGCGCTGTCTTAGAGGATGTTGTTCCCCTTGGTGATACCACTTTCCCTCTGTTAGAAAATGCTCCAGCTTGTTTGTTTGCACAAGACTATGCTAGTCCTGCTTCCCAATGTCCTGTCCTTTATAGCTAAAAGTGATGATGCTCTACTTTTCCAGTGGAGATCATCCTGGGCTCCCTCATGACCTATGGTACAGGCTTGCAAAGTGGCTTTTGATTTTGGAAACAGAGCTTGCATATGGCTATAGCCATGAAGCAATAAAATGGCTTGTACCAGGAAGAACTGAAATCTGTGGCCTTGGCCTTATTGGGAGAATTGAGTTAGTCTATAATGCCATAGAGAATTGTTCATTAACATTTGAGTAAACACCTAAATACCTCCGTCAAAGAATTTTAAACTAATACAGATCTTTGGGATAGCCCTCTGGTAGCAATAATAACTTGCGTTTATATATGCTTTAGACTTAGCCTAAGGGAAAAGCTAACATTTTCATTACACACAGCTTAGAAATAAGCTTAGAAATCCAACATGGTTGAACTGAAAAATGAATTTGGTCTGCCACTTTGAAACTTTGAGCAAGGTTTGCAATAGTTTCTCTATTTCTTTTTAAATAGGCTGTTGGGGCAGATAGCCATTTATGCTACAAGTGTAGGATGCAAAAATTATATCAACATCTAAAGGAATTTTAAAAAATACTTATAAAACCTCTGGGATTAAATGGCTCTAAAATGTCTGCTCTTCATATAGAATTTACTCCATCATTTTGAATTCTTGGGAACCTAGGAAGACTAAAATGTTTTAGTTTTCAACAAAGGACACAATTTTTTTTTTTACAGTTTGATAACCCAGGCACTGAATATTATAAAATGTGTTCATTGCATTCTTTTGCAAAATGTTTTTATCATTTCTTTGAGTATTTCTAGAAAAGTACATTTGACTTAACATAAGAACATTTATGATTTCATTGTTTTGTTTTGTTTTTTCCAGTAAGAGACGCTAGTTGTATCATGCATACATTCATATAAAAATATGTGTGGAACAAAATCTGCCGCACTAGTTGGATAACCAAGTGACTGATCATTTTTGATCTACCCCTGGACAAAGACTGATGTTTTTCTTTACCAGAAATTGCTGCTTTAAGGGGCATGTAGATGGTGCGGTGAATAGAGCACCAGCCCTGGAGTCAGGAGGAGGGTTCAAATCCAGCCTCAGACATTTGACACTGTGTGACCCTGGGCAAATCACTTAACCCCGAATGCCTCACCAAAAAAAAATAGCTGTTTTGCTTGCAGGGGTTCTAATTTTAGCATGGGTGGAAAATAGGAACATCACCAAATAGCCACCAATGGCTTTGATTACTATACCTCCATGTCTTAGCTAGCTTCCCTTTTGTTTCTGTCCCTTTGAACATTCCCTCTCCTGAAAGTCATGTCTGTTTATATCTGCTAATAAAACTGTATCTTTCAAGCAAGTCTTTTAATTTTCTTTGGAGCTAATATGTTTTCAAACAGGTGAACATATGGTTTAGTACTTAAGGTAACAACCAATTTTTTAAATTACATTTCTCAGTATGCCAGTGTTCAGTTAGGAAACCATACATTGTATCCATTAATGAAATCTATCTAATTCTTTTTTATTCTCTGATTGATGAATTTAATGTTATACAGTCTAATTTTCTGGTACTTTATCATGTTAAATCAAAATCAGTAATCAATTTTAATTTATTAAACTTTACAGTCAAACCAGCAAAATACAAATGAAATGCCTGGTAGGTCATTACTAGAAAGAAAAGTTTCAGGTTACTGGGGATTACATTTAGAAGCCAATGAGAAGCAGCATGGCACAGTGAGATGACCTTGGAACCAGGTTCTACCTGTGACACATGCTGGCTCTGTGAGCTGGGGAAAGCCAGGTAGCTTCTCTCAGCCCTAGGCAGCTCTCTAAGACTGTAAGGTACAGAGGAAGTCCTGACTTGCATTGTTAGAGGGAGTTTTCTCACCTGGGAGTTCCCTAAATTGATGAGGTCACAGGTCCAGTCCCTAGCTATATCACTAAAGTCCCCAAGTAAACTAAAGTTTAAAATTTTCTTTTTCTTTTTTTTTCCTTAAATATATGTTTGGATTTTTACTTTATGACTATCTTTGATCTGAATATTATATATGGTGATCCTTTAGTTTTTTGAAAGGATCATTGTAGTGAACACATTTTATGTTCGTAAAAATAATCATTACAGAGGCAGCTGGTAATGCTCAAGATAGAGTGTTGTGCCTGGAGTCAGGAAGACCTGAGTTCAGATGTGACCTTAGACACTTCACTAATTGTGTGAATTTAGGCAAGTCATTTAACCTCTTGTTTGCCTCAGTGTCCTCAACTGTAAAATGGGGATAATAATAGCGTCTATATTTGCAAGATTGTTGTGAGGATCAAATAAGATAATATTTGTAAAAAGTGCCTGGCACATAGTAGACGTTTTAAGTGCTTTTTTCCTCTCCCCTTCCTTGTTTTAATAGTAATTACAGCAGTAAAGGTAGGAAATTTGGTTTCTATCTAGATATCATATAACTGAGCATAGATGTGTTGGGTTTTGTGTTGTTACAGCACCTTGCCTAGCCTGGATGCTCCTTATCCTATGTTGGTATTAGTTGGTCCACAAGCCGGAGGGAAACGTGAGCTTGCTCACCAACTTTGCAGGCAATTCAGCACTTTCTTCAGACACGGGTGAGTTCGTTCATTAGCTTGTGAGACTGGGAAGACCCCACAGATGTTAAGTCTGAATCTCATTTTAAGGCAACCATAGCGTTTGGCAGAATATATTCTGTTTTAATAACCCTGGTGTGTGAGGAGATTTTGAGAAGCAGGCATTATAGTAGCTGGTCAATGAATATCAGTTGGTGATGAGAGTGAAGCCTTGGTCCTCATGAGTAAATGGTTAATATTTTGAGCCAGATGAGGGTCTGGTGATACGTACTTAAATTGTCTGGGAATGGCTGGCTGTCTATCGCCGTGCCTGTACCATGCCACGGGGAAGCAGGGATGATTGTCGAACTGTCTTCGATATGAGAACCGCCCAACAAGCAGCAAGAAGCTAAATATTTCCTGCTGCAAAAAAAATCCCCCAGTCAACCTCTTCATGCCATTCGGCATGCACCCATTGGTAGCTTCTTCGCTATATCAACTTCTTCACAGAGTTTTCTTACAGAACAGCAGAGCATTTCTTGGCAGTAACTTTTCAGATGCATGACTTCATTCGGAGCCAGCCCAGAATAATTCTCCAGAGCCTGGAAACACTTTTCTTTTTAATGCAACATGATGGTGTTTGAAAGCAGTCTCATCCTGTTGCAACACAGCGTGTCAGTATGAATCACAATGTTGTGATGTTCGGGTTTGCTGCACTGGATAAACTCGCACTAGTGACAGCCTTCTATTAGCATACACTGAACAGCGTGTCTCTTTCAGTCCTTGATGTGCGCTTGTGTCTTTTCAAGGAGTGGCGTGTTTCACAAGGAAGGAAAAAGAAAGGTTGGTGGGTTTTTTTTCCCCTCTCACGTCAGTGTTGTGATTTTCTGAAGTGGATGCTTTGCCTGGTGACAGAACAAAATAAAAGCTGAGAAAAATTACAGGAAGCCAGAGCCATCCTGAATGTCCTCCAAGTGATGATGTGCTCTCTTCAAAGGCTGTTGAGAGTGAGACATCAAGCTGGGATTGTGGTTCGTGTGCCTTTGAAATATTCCCTTTATTTGCATGGATGAGAAACAGACTGATTTTTGACTAGCAGTCTAACAGCAACAAATTGGAAATGTGACTCAACAAAAGATAAGCAAAGAAAAGCAAAATGCAAGTGGTTTTCTAATACTGCTTTTTCAGTCTCTTTTTTCTTAAGCTAATCATAATCAGACAAGGCAAATAGTATTTTGAATAGGCCTATCTTATTTAGACTTTTAAAATCATATTCCTCACTTAACCTCATGACACAAATACTATGAAATATTCTGATGAGGAAAAGATTTCAGATACCCAGAAGCAACTAATAAATTAACTAATATATTCTAATAAATTAGGTTACAATGTGAGAATAAAACCTCAAAGTATCACTGTGCCAACTAATCGAGATTCCCCAGACCAGTTTAAAAGAATGTCTGGCATAATTCCAGAGAGAAAATGGCAAAGATGTCCAATTTCCAAGGATGTCTCTGTCTTTATGGTCCTGAACTCCAAATATGAGAACTTTCCAGTGAAGGGCAGTAACTGGAGGTAAGCCAGGTACCTTCTATGAATCCTTCCTTTCTTTTGGCCCATGATTATGCCCTTGGGCTGACCATCCTGGTCCAATGAGATACCATCCATTTTCATGCATTCATCAGTCAAACAGTTAGTGATCCCCTGCTACACGCAGGGGCGCTGTGCTAGTTGCCAAGGACATAACAGTGAATACATGACAGCGTCTTCACTTATGGTGGCCAGACCCCTCACGGGGAGTGAAGATGTGATAATGTTCCCCATCCACCTTCAGTAGGACGTGCAATTGAAGAGGAAGCATCACATCATGGAAAGAAGGACAGAGCTGGGTTCAAGTTCTAGGTCTGACACTTACCATGTATAACCACGAATAACTGCTCTATCACCTCAAGCTTCTCATTCCCCATCTATCCCTCACTCAGCTGTCAAAGTGATTTTGCTAAAGCACAGATCTGACCACATCCCTCCCTCCCCCTGCCCCAACTCACTAAACTTCAGTGACTCCCTCTAAAGTCCTTCACAACCTGGCCCCTTCCTTCCTCTCCAGTCTTCTTACATTCCGTTCCTCTTCGTGTATCTACAATCCATCAGCGTCACCCTTACCATCCTTCGCACATGGCACTCTAATTCCCCAACGCCAGGCTTTTTCAGAGGTGTTCACCCCTACCCAGAATGCTTCTCCCTCCTCACCTCTGCCTCCTGGCTTCCTTAAAAATCCAATTCGAACCCCGTACTCTTTAGGAGACTTTTCCTAGTTTCCCTTTAACCGCCCATTGCCTTCCCTCTGAGATTACCTTTTATTTACATTGTATGAATCTTGTGTTACAGTGATTTGTGTTCTGTCTCCCCTAGTAGAATGTTGAATGCTTGAGGGCAAGGAGCATATTTTTGCCTTTCTTTATGTCTTGGTGCTTAGCATAGTACCTGGCACATAGCTAGCGCTTAATTAATGATTGTTAACTGCCTGCCTTCCTGCCTAATATCACAGATGAGCAACTTGTTAATTAACATCTGGCGGCTGGGGTCAAGGACAACTGGGTGGTGCAGTGGATAATGTGCCAGTCCTAGAATCAGGAAGACCTGAGTTGAAATTTAACCTTACACACTTACTAGCTTCCTGACCCAGGGCAAGTCACTTCACCCTGTTTGCCTCAGTTTCCTCATCTGTAAAATGAGCTGGAAAAGGAAATGGCAAACCACTCCAGTAACTTTGCCAAGAAAGGTTCAAATGGGGTCAGGAAGAGTCAGATACGACTGAAATGGCTATACAACAACAAGCTTGGTGGTATAAGTAGCCTTGGAGTCAGAATAACCTGAGTTCGAATCCTGTCTCAGACACTTACTAGTTATGTGACCTAGGCGAGTCACTTAACCTCACTCATCCTCAGTTTCTTTACCTGCGAAACAGGGATTAATAAAAGCACCCAACTCATAAGGTTGTTGGGAGGATGAAATGAAAGTACTTTGTAAACCTTAAAGAGGTATACAAATACTAGCTATTCATATTTGCTTTTCAGCATAAATAAATCTCAGTTTAATTTTGTATTACCTTCTAATAGAATTTACCCTTTTAAAAAATGCTTAACTTTTTACCTCTATCCATAGCACAGCATTAAATTTAATGGCCTGCTGTCTTAATTGGTTTGTCTGTGGTGGTGTTATGCAGCAGCAGAATTCTCTAATGCCATAGTTTTCACTGCACTGGAGAATTTTTACCTCGAGCACAAAATTTCTTAGTATTTGACACCCCACTTAGGCTCTCTTGTGGCAGTCACTGGAAGCGTTGAAAGTAATCACTTCCCAAATATGAAGACTAGCAACAAAAACCTGTCTTCCCTACCAAAGGAATGTCCTGGAAATAGCCAGTTCTCTGTAAAAACTAAACATCATTTGATTAATCTCCTAAACATCTTTAGTTCCTGTAACCTCACCAAGGTTTCCAAGCACCTCACCATCCTCTTCAGTCCTAGCTGGACACCCTTCAGTTTGTTATCGTCCTTGAGATATGATTGAATGCTCATTCTCACCGTGGAATAATGCTAGTGTTGTAGCAGCCAGAATCTAACATTTGTCTTTGTTTCTGTATCTACCAAATGAAACTAGTAGAACTTGACCCATTTTATAGGAATTTACTGTGACTTAACTAACCAGTGATGAAGGAACATGGGGAAAACAGTGTATAGTATGTTATATTTCTCCCTAGAGGGAAAATATGTATATTAAAACTCTTTTTAAAAAAATAATAAAAATGCCCATATAGATGTGGGGTGTCACTAAGTTGAAGTTTTGGCAATATTTCAGTGTTTTCTCTATTATACATTTCTTTTCTGGGGTGTTTATATTTAGCTTATCCAGGGGCAATCAGGTATACAATAGATAGAGAGTTGGACCTGGAGTCAAGAAGATATGAGTTAAAATCCAGCCTCAGAAACCCTCAAGCTATATGACCTGGGCAAGTGACTTCACCTCTGTCTGCCTCATTTTCCTCATTTATAAAATAAGGGTAATTAAAATATCACTTAATTCCCAGGGTTGTTGTGAGGATCAAATGATATAATAGTTGTAAAGCATTTAGCATGGTACTTGGCACACAGTAGGTGTTTAATAAATGTTTGTTTCTTTCCTATTTAGACAGCCTATTATATAATGTTTCTACAAGTGACAATTGGACAATAGCTTCAAATATTTATCAGGGGGATTGGGCCCTTTTTTATGAACCAAAAGTAGAGTTCATAAGGTGTCATTCCAGTAAATGCAGGTGCTGTTGGCTACCATCACGCTAATGAGACTATTGTTTTCTTTGCCTGGGTAGAAGCTATAAATCATAATAAAATCAATGAACATTTCCCAAGCACATTTTTAGCTGTGCAAGACACTGCTAATTCAAATTATGTTTTCTCTGTAAGAAATTCTATAAAATTTCCTGTCCAATCAATTATTCTGGCAGTGTGGAAAGGTCACAGCATAGTGGATCAAGAAGGTGATTCCTGCTCCACTGATTCACATGCCCCTACTGACCTGGGAAAGGTTTAGCACCTAGTACAATGCCTGCCACATAGCATCGTAGATGATTAGTAAATTCTTATCCTTTTACCAAGGTCTGTTAGTGTCTTCACATAGTGAAACTAATTTTAAGGAATTGTGACAACCTCTATTTAGAGTTTCCTTGCTGTCTTGGGTTTATAATTAAATGTAATATAGATATTAAAATAAATATTAAATATTAAAAACAACTCTTATGGTCTCTTGATTATCTGCACTAATGGAGGGGAACAGCATTGTTAATAATGGAAACTATTTGGATTTGGAATTTTTAAAAATAAATTTGTTTATTTATTTATGTATAGTTTTCAACATTCACTTCCATAAGATTTTGAGTTCCAAATTTTCTCCCTATCTCTCCCTCCCCCCACCCAAATGGGCATGTAAATTGATATAGGCTCAGCATATACATCATATTAAACCTATTTTCACATTAGTCATGTTGTAAAGAAGAATTAGAACCAATGGGAGAAACTATGAGAAAGAAGAAACAAAAGAGGAGAGAGACACAGAGAGAGAGAGAGAGAGAGAGAGAGAGAGAGAGAGAGAGAGAGAGAGAGCAAATAATATGCTTTGATCAGCATTCAGACTCCATAGTTCTTTTTCTAGATGTGGACAACATTTTCCATCATGAATCTTTTGGAGTTTTTTTTAGATCCTTATATTGCTAAGAAGAGATAAGTCTATCAAAGTTAGTCATCACACAATGTGGCTGTCACTTGTACAATGTTCTCCTGGTTCTGCTCACTTCACTCAGCATCAGTTCACATAAGTCTTTCCTGATCTCTGAAGTCTGCAGCTCATCGTTGCTCATAGTATAATAGTATGGAAAAATATTTTAGGTTGTTTTTCCACCTGAAAGATTTACCTTTTAAATTGACTTTTTTTTTTTGCATAGTACGCTATCAGAATTAGTTGGGGATCCCCAGAACACACAGCAACAAAAGAAGCAGTATAGGGAAGAAGCATATATAGGGAAAAGGCCATCAGTTGAGTTATGAGACCTGCATTCTAGGGTTAGCTATGAGAAAAGTTATATTTAAGTTTCATCCTAGATAAAATAGGAATACTATGTGCCTTGTCTGCTTGAGAAGTTTGGAATGAGGACTCAACAAGAGAGTGCATTTGAAATGTTTTAGAAAAGCATAAGGCACTACTCAATTACTATTAGTGTTATTAACAAGTGGTAGCAAGGAGTCATTTATGGGACAGGAGAAGGATAAGGAAGCATCCGTGGAGGCCTAGAAGAAAACAGTGAGAGAGGTAGGAGGGGAATCATGAGACTGCGATGTCAAGTATGCCAAAGGAGGAGAGAGTATCAAGGAAAAAGAGGAGTTGGGGGCCAGGGGGAGGTTATCAACAGTGCCAAATCCTGTGGAGAAATGAAAAGAGGATGAATGGGGAAAAAGCCTTGTATTTTGTGACAAGGATGCCATTGGGATCATGAAGGAAAGGCTTTGGTGGAGTAGTTGGGCATGGAAGGCAGATTGTGAAGGGTTTTGAGGAACACGTGAGTAGTGAGAAAATGGAAGCAGTGAAGTAAACCACTCTTTTTTGCACTAAAATGCATTAAAATGAATGTAAGACATAAGATGGTAGCCAAAGATGAGTAGCAAGGTCAATAATAAGTTTTTGTAGGAAGGGGAGATGCCGCTTCCTGTGTGAGCTGTTTCCTCATCAGATATGAGGGGGTTTGACTCAATCACCTCTCAGGACTCTTCCAGCTCAAAAACCTTAGGATCCTAAGAACTAAGCATGCTCCTAAAGAACTGGGATCCAAAAAAATGTCAACTGACTGAGAAGTAGACAGAACATAAACATCACAACCTTCTTAAGTAGATAAAGTTACTTCTATTCTATCTAAGATGAAACACATACAGCTTGCCTAAGATTCCAAGGTCTTCAAGAAAGGGCCGGCTGTGACATGAATGTATAGAGAAGATTCATATTTATGGTGGAGGTTCAACAAAATAACCCCTAAGGTCCCTCTGTGATAAAGGGCTCTCTACCTCTTGTGATTTTATTGTACTGCAATATTGGCCCATAAGGCTTAATGATAACAAAGACCAGCAATTTCCTGAATCCATAATAAGAGTAATCTGCTTACATAGAATCAAAGAGTTTAAATCTTAATCATTTTTTTAAAATTCAAATTTGGATTTTCTCAAAAAAAATTGCTTTAACCATTCATTTTTCATCACATTTTAATGTAATGGAAACTGGTTAAATTAATAATTTTATGTCTTTCAGTGCCTGTCATACCACAAGACTGCCCTACTTTGGGGAAGGGGACCGAGTTGATTATCATTTTGTTTCTCCTGAAGTTTTTGATGAAATGCGATACTTGGTAAGAATTCTGGGTATTTCGGGAAAGAAGTAATCTTGTCTGCAGTATTGTTTTCAATGATGAATATATTATTATTTGAATGCTTCTCATGTTTTAGGAAAATTGATTCTTAACGTGTTAAGAAAATACTGCTGTGGTTTCTCTGCATCTGATATACCTGATACTAGTTGGGCTTTATGCCTTCAGTGTAGATAAATTCTACCAGACATAATTTAATGCTTATGGCTTAACCCATGCACAAGGCTTTGGTTATATGGTCAGAGACAGGGTCTTTGTATTCTGTATTAACAGGACATTCTAAATCTCACAGACCTATGCAAGCTTTTAGACAAAACTCAATCTGCTTTGTCTGTACTCTCTTATCCTCATGTTTCCAGAGATGCAGAGAACTTAACTGTTGTGGAGTTTACCTATGGGGAGAGAAGCCCTTAGATAGCCATATTTAAAGTATCTTTTATTCCTTGTGTGACCTAAATTCCCAACCAGGTGAAAGCTCTCCCTCATAAAACTGCCTCAGGTAGGCTCAGTATAATCTTGCTCACGTGAGATTTCATGTCTATTTTGGCAATTCTATCATTCCAGCCATCAGTAATTACACACCATACACTTATCTCTAAGAGCTTGACTTTATATCCATATGCAGAATGAGTCTCCAAAGACTATACTCTTTTTTTGGGGGGGGGGAACCTACAACTTTATTATTACATATTCATGCAATGCCGTGTTATCAAAACTATTCTTTCTCCCTCCCCCTCCGAGGCAATCAGGGTTAAGTGACTTGCCTACGGTCACACAGCTAGTGAGTTTCATGTGTCTGTGGCTGGATTTGGACTCAGGTCCTCCTGACTCCAGGGCTGGTGCTCTATCCAGTGTGCCATCTAGCTGCCCCTCAAAACTATTCATACAATTAATTACTATGACTCAATCTATGTTTGTTGCAAATATGTATTTACAGCAAATAGAGATTACTGCAAATATATTTATCCTCCAAAGTAACTGTACACTCTTGAAGTTGTCCCTTGAGCAAGAATAAAGGAATCGTGTGGCTCTGGGAAAGCGACTATGAGACCAGAGGGATCCATTCCCCACCTTGCACTGCACTTTTTTTCTTTATAGCTTACATGTTTTCTACCAAACAGTATTCCTGAGTCACAACTGGAGTGTGTAGCCATGGGAAACATGGCCACATTCCTTACAACTTTGAAGCTGCAAAGACAACAGCTATTATTGAGATGATTTTATCTAATGACCCACTGAATGTTGACTTCAAATGAGGTAGAAGATAGGGAAGCATGCACTCAGTCAGGCTCATTGCCAATCTCACAGAGGCGTCCCACACAGATTCCGAAAGGATAAAAGATTCTCTCTCTGATAAAGTTTTTCGATTTCATAGATGCCATTGTAATAATTACATTGGTTCCCCAGAACACTCTACAGATTTTCTTCAGTTAATAACTGAACAATAACTGAGTTAATAACTCAGAAAAGGTCATTTTAACCACTCACACTGTAAAAAACAAAGTGGATTAAAAATCATATTACCTAGCTTTTGGTATACAAATCAACAGGTATCTCAATGAGTTAGTAAATATATGCTTATGTGTATATGTGTTCTTATTGTTCAGTTGTTTCAGTCATGTCTGACTCTGCATGACCCCATTTGGGGTTTTCTTGGCAAAGATACTGGAGTGGTTCACCATTTCCTTCTCCAGCTCATTTTACAGATGAGGAAACTGAGGCAAAAATGGGGTTAGGTGACTTGCCCAGGGTCACGTAGCTAGGAAGTATTGAGGCTGGATCTGAACAAAGTCCTTCTTGACTCCAGGCTTGGTGCTCTATCCACTGCCCCACCTAGCTGCCCCTATAAAAATGCCCCCTGTATATACATACATAACATATGCATATACACATACACATACATAAATACATGTACATATGTATATGTATATATAGGACATCCCAAGAATCTTAGTGCAGTTGTAAGCTTGATAGAAAAATATATAGATACATACATATATGTGTGTTATACGTATATATATACATGTAATGTGTGTGTGAATATATACACATATATATGGATATCCTGGACAAGTGCCAAAAATAAACAGTAATCAGGGCATAGAACTGAATGGTAATGATAGTATAAGACTAGATTACATTAAGGAAATTGTACAGTGCTTTCAATTATTTTAAGCTGCTTGCTGCTGTACTTGAACAGCCATATTCTTCCAGTGATATTGTGAATGATGAAACATTATGCTCTTGGAAGAATCAAAATTGCAAGTGATACAAAGGACAATGAGATACATTGTAGATATAAATGGGCTGTAAGGTATTAACAAACAATAATTTGTGGGTAAGAAGTGGCATAAAAGACATCATCAGGGACCAGAATAAGAAGTAGGCCAATCATACAGTAAGGGTGAGAGACAATGTAGAGGGAGCCTGTGTGCTGTCCTGCTACCTTTTATGCTGTGAAAAGATATGAAAAGAAGCAGACAATGATCTCCAGGTCAGCAGGTGAATCTTCTGTAGAAGATTTCTCGAAAGTCATGGGGAAGAATGAGGTAAGGTGTGGAGGTAATCAGCACTGATGGGCAGAGCATTCATGCCAAGGCAATATCAGATGCATCTGAGTATTCATGCAGACTCACATTTGACATTCAAAAACTCAGTTACACAGGCATGCCATAAAGGAGATGTGGCTAGACAGCAATACACATTGGTGATTTTAGTGGACCGTAAGCTCAATGTGAGTTAGCTGTGTAACATGGTAGCTAAAAAGTTAATGAGCTCAATTTTACTTTAGAAAGCTCTTCACTTCTACTTCCTTCCATCAGGTAAAGGCAAACTCTTTATGTTGTTGCCCTGACCAATATAATTTCATAATCCACATTAACATATTTTGACTAAGTTCTACTACAGTATCAAGATGTTCTTCAGTATGATTGTCTGATATAAAGGAATATTAAAAAAAAGAATATCATCAGAATAATATGTGATTGAAAAGAGGAGATGGGCTGGTTAAGCAAGAGTAATAGATAGCTGTTAAACAGCTTGGGTGCTCTCTTGGTGTTCTCACAACGTCAGAAGAAAGTGAGAAAGGTCACTAGCCCTTTGGGTGAACCCGCTATGATGAGCTCTGAGAGGACACAGATGAGTTAAATAGAGTGGGGAGCCATGGGTGAATTGCAGCTTGCATCTCTGGAGGAAACATGCACATGGTTGATATCACAGATCTGTTTGAATATCTGAGTGTCCTTCGTCCTAGTCGGAATCATTCTGAACATTGTAGTCAGTTCTGGGCACCATATTGGTAGGCATTCTAGTGAATTCTGAGAAAGGTAACCAAAATAGTCAAGGCTCTTAAAGCTGGGCCAGAGAAGGATTAGTTGGAAAAAAACTAGAATATTTACCTGAAAAGGGAAAGACGAGGGGAATATAAATGCTATCCTTAAGTATTTGGTTTTTGTTTGTTTGTTTACAAATGAAATGAAAATATTTATTTTTTTCTTTTTAAAAATAGTATTTTTTTCAATTACATGTAAAAACAGATTTTAAAATTCATTTAAAAAATTTTGAGTAACAAATTTCCTCCTTTTCTCCCTCCTCCTCCCCCTCTCCCTAAAAAGTTAAGAATTTTAAATTGGTTGTATATGTGCAATCATGTAAAACATATTTCCGTATTAGTCATGTCATGAAAAAAGAAACAGACCAAAAGGAAAAAAACCATGAAAAGAATAAAGAAACTGAAAATAATATGCTTTGATATACATTCAGACTCCACCGTTCTATACTTAAGTATTTGAAGGACTTATTTATGAAAAGTGATTTAGACATGTTTTGGTTGACCCCAAGACCAAAAATGGGACCAGTGAATGAAGTTGCAGAGAAGCATATTTTAGTTTAATATAATTTTTTTAAAACCTTATTAACACTTGTTGAAAATGTTGGAGAATGGATTCGTGTTTAAAATGGAATAAATGACATCTAAGATTACTATGATTCACTAGTACCGCAGAATTGTTAATTTCTGAAATGCTTATGGGGTCTGATATCAGAATTTAGAGGTACCAGGGCATTGTGCTTATATTAGAATTCTCTATAGAAGAAATTTCCATCCCCAAAATGATTTATTTTTTGAGTTTCAGGGAAAATTTATTTTGACATATCAGTATAACAAGGATAATTATGGACTAAGTAGGGATACTATAGAAGGGATTGCAAGAGATGGTCTGGCAAGCTGTGTTCATTTGGAAATTGAGGTAAGTGCTTTTCTTCCTTTGTTGTTTTTTTCTTCATTCAATCAAGCAGCAAATATTTATTGAGCTAGCCCTCTAATCAGGCAGTCATGAAAGCTACAAGAAAGTGTAAAATATAATCTCTGCTCTCAAGGAGTGTGTATTCTACTGGGATAACAATGCAATCACAATTCAGTAATACCAGAGTTGTCTTTCCCCAATCTGAATGTTTCCCTGACAGCTTCCTTCCTTTTCTTTAGGTCTGCTATATATTTTGTTGGTTTCATTTTGTTTGGGGAGAGCTCATTCCTGCTCTCTCACATCAAATAAAGGCATACCTCATATCGCATTTGTCTGACCAATGTAATTTCACAATATACTTAGTATGGCCAAACCCTATCTTACCATTCAGACACCTGACTGCAGTGTCATCTGGCTTATGAACTTTTGATCCATTTGTTGAACCACAATCTGAGCTAGTTCCTGAGCCCCAGTGGCTTCCATTGTCAACAGAATTAACTGTTCCCTATTTTGTCTAATTTCACGTTTTATTGGAATCCATCAACATAGGGAAGGTTAATGTTTGCCTATTTGTCTGTGACTTGATTCTGTATACAAAGACTTTTCTTTAATAGCAGACTATTTTATAAACTGCTTCTGGTATAAAGCTTTAAGAAGCTGGGTTTTGTTGTTGTTTTTTATCTTTTAAATTTTTATCTTAGCATTACATATAATTTTTGAGCATGGTTTTGAACTCAATAGAGAATTTTATTACTGGAAGGGACTTTGAATTCATCTAGACTAGAGGCAGTCCAGTTTTGTAAATAGTAGAGCACATGAACAAACATCCATAGTTGTATGGGCCAAATGAATTTTTTAAATTGAACAGTGATGTAGAATAGTTTGTTAGCTATAAAAAATATGGATTTTTGGCCATACTACAGAAGCACTAAAAATGGTTTAGTCAACTTGAATCATACAATATGTGTATTTTAGGAATAATGAAACTCACTGAATAATTTTGATCAAATCAGTAAAAATACTGTTGAATTTAACAGACTGAGCCATTCTTTTAATCTAACATAGTATGACTTCTATTGACAAATAGAAATATTAGAATATATGAACAAGAAGAAAAAAGAAAAAAACACAATATGACAAAATAAAGAGATAGCACACGTAACCATAACCTTCTGTTATTTACAAATTGTTTAAAACAAACACCAAAAAAGTACATATAGTAACTTGAACTGAGAGGTAATTCGATCACCCCATTTGTTTTCATGATCCCTTCTGAAACTCTTTCCCATACTTTTATCTAAATTTTGTTTTGGTTATTGCCAACTCTATTTACACAATTATAGTCAGTGTAATTCTTTTTCTTTTGGTTATGCTTTTCTGTATCACTTCATGAGATTATAGAAACATAGCTATAGAGTTGGAAATGAGCTTACTAGCCATTGAGTGCAACCCCCTCATTTTACAGCTAAGGAAACTGAGGCAGCCCAGAGAAGTGACTTGCTCAGGCTCAAATACCTATTAACTGGCATGGAATTTGAACCCACATCCCTGACTTCATGTCCAGTGCCCAATTTTTTGTTAATAGTCTTCATAACCATTTTAATGATGTAATAATATTCAAATACATTCACATATTACAATTTGTTCAGTTATTTTCCAATTCTTGTACACAGAACTTGCTTTTAAACTTTTTTCTTATTACAAATAACGCTCCTAGGAATATTTTTGTGTAGATGTATCTTTTTCCTCTGAACACAACCACAGTAATTCCATGAGAATGGCTATGAATTTGTCATTTCAGTGTAGATCTTGGATATTAGATTTTTTCAGAGATGCTTTTTACAAATAGTTTTTTCCCCCTAATTTGCTTCTTTTTTATTCCAAATAGTTTTTGTCACAAAAGATACACACACATACTCACATACACAAACACATGTATGTATGTATAGTGAAATTCACCAATTTGGACCCTTATCTTTTCTAATAAGTCATAGATGGTAAAGAATTTTTCACCAAACTACAGTTGAAAAATCAATGACCTTCCATTATTCTCTAACTTTTACAAATTTGTGTGTGTGTGTGTGTGTGTGTGTGTGTGTATAAAATCCATTTTGAACTTATTGAGCTTTGATAGTCATTGATAGACTATGAAAGTCCCACTCTACTGCCTCATCATTGTGTGATAGTGATCTTGGGTTATCAAAAGTTTTGTCAGCAGAGCTCAGGCACTGCCTGTCCTACCAAGCTAGAAACATTTTAATTATGGGAGCAGTAATAGTCTGGGTTTGGGATGCAAGGACCAACCTATCTCATCTTAGAGATGCTTATAATCATATTTGCCAGGGTGATAAATGCCACATCAGTACTAAAAAACATTTTAATAACCCCTGGTTGAAGAAATGCCCAGATTGATAAAGTCATGGATCTTTTATGTTTTAAAGTAAGAATGATATGAAATGGTGGTCATCTCCTATGTTTTGTCAAAATATTAGCCAATTTGCCCAACAGTTTTTGTTGATTAATTTCTTCCTCAGTTATAACATTTTATGTTGAGTTTATCAGATACTATTCTACTATGTGTTTGATTATATACCTTGATTATCTAACCTGTTCTACTGAAGCTTTTCCCTAATTTTTTATATCTTACCAGTTTTAATAATGGTTCAGAGTATAAATTGAGTTCTGGCAGGACAAGTCTCCCTTTTCCCTTAATTTGCCTTCCCCCTTTGATATTTGTTGCTTCTGCCACCCTTTACCATCCCCCCAATCCTGCCCAGGATTAAAAATGACATGTGGGAAACCTAGATTAATCTTAACATTTTATTGGGCCACATCAATGGCTAATAGTTATGGGAATAAGCTCATAATGTGCAGCAAAAATAGATCTCTCCCTTCCCAACACTGCTACCAGAAATAAAGGGCTGCATATTCATCAAAGCATGTTCCTCCCCCACTCCCTGGCATTCACAAGCACCATTGCACCGCTCAAAGTGCCATTTAAACAAGAGTCTAGGGTGCCACAAGACTGTTGTTGTTTCTATAATGCCATTGGCATAAGTTGATCAAGTTCTGCACGTTGCCAATTCAAGTTTTGGAGAGTGAGTTCATTCGTCCCGACAATGATTTAACTGGATATTTGTGTGGAAAGCACTCAGGTAGTCTCATCTGGTTCACCATAGTTTGATATGTTCCATGAGGGACAGTTAATTTCATGATAATAAAATAAAATAAAATAAAAACTATTTTAATATATACTCTCTGAAGACACTTCACTTAGTTATCTGATCAGGTGAATTATCTATCATTGTCTTCAAGTTCATTCATTTTCTCTTTCATCTCAAAGGGCGTGAGAAGTTTGAAACATTCCTACTTTGAGCCTCGATATATTCTGCTAGTGCCAATGAACAAAGAAAAATATGAAGGGAATTTGCGGAGAATGGGGCTCTTTAGTCGTTCAGAGATTGAATTTTCTGTCTCGAGAGTTGATTATTATGTTAGAATAAATCAAGATAATCCAGGTTACTTTGATGCATTGATCAATACAGGTAAGTAACTTTTGTGAAAAAAAAAATTGGTAACTTTTATTTTGGAATTGAGAAGCAACTGATTTAGAAGTTCTATGTCAGGAGAATTCTTAGGCAAAGCCATAAATATTCCTTGTAACATTGAATAATAGTATTGCAGTCTAGCCCTGTTAACACATAGTGACTAGTAACTGTACATTCCAAATCTTTATTATTAGTTAATATGGTTAGAGATGAAGATTCTGTACTCTTCACTTATTGTGTATTCCATATGTCCTTGTGCCTTAAAATCCTAGATTGTAAAATTAGAGTGGTGACACTAATCTCTTCCTACAACCATTGAGATGTTTTGAAATCAACAAATTCAGATAATATATGTGAAAATGTGAAACCTCCAGAAAAGTCTTGTTCTGCTGCCTCATTTTGGCATGAACTTGACCCTGGGTTCTCAAAGGTTGTGCCCAAAAGAGTATAATCCCTGGCTGTTTCTAGCAAGCAAGAAAAGGCTTCAAATACAGTTCTAACAACAGGATAGCTATCTATGAACTAGCCTAGCTAAATATGGAGAAACACGTTACCAATAAGGTGACCACAAGGTGATGAATTTTGGGGGCCATATCCATGAAGCAGATATAACATATGAAATGATGCTCAGCCTTTTTGCTTCTATACTGAGTACTATGTAATAATAGGAAAGGGGGCAGATGGTGCCAAGGATCCCACAGGTTTTAGAGAGCTTCAGATATTAATTTAACTCTTGGTAATCTAAATTTGAGCTCTTTGTGCAATGAAAAATGAGAATCTGAACCATAGCCATGATGATAGTTTTATCATAAATGAGACCAGAAGACATAAAATAGTTCTAGCTAACTGAAAGGACAGCTTACAGGTTTTTCTCACAGAGGCAAATCAAGGCATTTTGCATTTAAGTTTGCATTTAGGGTTTCATTTGGTTACATCACACACTCAACAGCATTAAGAATCATCTTTTCGTAGGGACTCTGGGTCATCCTATAGCATTCATGACTCACATAAAGCAAAAGAACAACCCTGAGAATAACTGCATCTTTCCCACCAACATTTGTTGCAGGGGATGAAATAGAAGGCAAGTCTTAGAAGACCTTGATGAGTCCCACAAACAAGTCCACATATACCTTGATCCTTGGTAGTAATTTATAAGGTAGTATGGAGTCAGGTTGTGAAGGGTTTTAAATGACAAACATAAGAGATTTTACTCGATCTTAGAGGTAATAAGGAACCATTGGAGTTTATTGAGCAAAAAAGAGACATGGTCATACCTACACTTTAAGAAAATTGCTTTGTCAGCCAAGTAAGTGATAGGTAGGAGATAGGAGGATGGACTGGACTTGAGGCAGGGAGAACAATTTGGATTCTATCTTAATAATTTAAGTGAAAAGTGATGAGAAAAAAAGTGATGTCTTGAACTTGAGTGGTGACCACACGAAGAGAGAGAAGGGGACAAATGTGAGACATGTTGTTGGCATATCAAAGTAGAAATCAACTGTATAGAAGTGTGATATACCATGACCCTCAAATTCATCGCCCCATTGCCAACCTGGTGATGGATCTTTAGGAACTTAGCTAGACTGGTCCTCAGATAATAGATGTACCTTTTCCTGACAAAAAATAGACTATTAACTGTTATTAAGCATTACTTAGTAATAGCCCAGGTGAAGACTCGATGGGAGATTTGATTAAAATTTGTGATTATTTCTCCATTACCATTAATAATTGAGAATTTACAGTTTTTACATACTTTTTGCCTTAAAATATATTTTCTCTTTTACCGGTAGATGATATGAATCTTGCATACCAGAAACTGTGTGAGCTCATTAGACAATACCTTGCTTTGTCTGACCATCTTGATAGCATCATACCCGGCACTGAAGGTAATATAAATATCATCTCAAACTGTGCTCCTTAGATGCCAATACTAATTTTTTTTTCTTTTTCAAACAAAAAAATGTAAATTAATTATATCCATTTAGTCCTCCAAGAGAAGTAACCAGGTTAAAGGCAGTTTCTGTGATTTTTGGACTGTAACATGGAAGCCCCCATGACTCAAGTGACCTTGGGCAAATCTGGAAAGTTAGTTACCCTTTCCAGTTCCTAGATTGCTTTTTGGGTTGTGGTAATGTTTTCCCAACATTTATGCTATTTGAGTCACCAATTCTGAGGAAGTTTGACTTTAACTCTGGTCTACCTCACTGTTGTAATGGAACCCTACTGAAACACAGTGAGGATTATGTTGAACAATGCAGCAGAGGGTAGGTGGATCATTGCCTGGTCAGGTAAGCTCTTTATTTAGACATGAGCTTTAGAGGAAATCAGCTTCCTTGACAGTACAGGTATTTCCCTGCATGACACCTTTGCACTTCTCAATAGTCTGGTCAAATCAACTTCCCTTTCCATCACCCCTTTCTTTTTGATCTATCTAAAAAACACAGGCAATTTCAGGGTATAGTGGAAAGTAGCCTTCATATGTCACTTAATAAAGCTATTTACAAAATATTATCAGCGACTATTAAAATTCTTTAAGATATTTATGCATAATACGGTGTGGTAGAAAGAGGATTGGATCAGGAGTCAAAAGATTTGGGCTCACATTTCAATTTCCCCACTGAGGGAGCAGATTGTTTCACATCTATGGGCCTCAGTTTCTATATCTGTAAAATGAAGGAGTTGGATAATGTCTAAATCCCTTCCATTTCTAAAATTTTATGGTCCTATGATTCTTGTATTGACTTTCACCAAACCTTCTAAATTTATAGGAATTATCTGCTTAGTTTGTTAAGAATTAATTAGTCATGTGGCTCTAGTCTATTTGAAGATTGTATCATAGAGAAAAAGCTGGAGTTAGAGGTAGGAGGTACCACAGGCCAGCTGCTTTCTTCTTATTTCTCCTTAGGTATCAATACTAAATAGCCCCTATATTTCAAAGAACTTCATAAAGGAGATGCCCTTTCAGCTGGTATTTTTGTATTTTTCATTTAACAAAGGGTAAAGGGCCCCTGTCTATGTTTTTTGCTTGGAGGCTCAGAATATCAACACTATATAAGCTGCTGTCATGCACTGAAAATGAAGATGAGGTTAATTTAAAGGGCAAATTATAGCTGTGTGACCTTATGTAAGTCCCTTAACCTCTCTGGCCCCCAGATTCTTCTTCCTTTCAAAAAAACAAAAGATGGTTGGACAAGATGATCATTAAGACCCAGTTTCCTTCTCTGTAAAATGAAGTTAATTATGCTTGTATTGCCTAGCTCATAGGGGTGTTGTGAGAATCAATTGAGATAATGCATGTACAATACTTTGTAAACTGTAAGGCATTATAAATGTCAGCAAGAATTAGTTAGTATTAGTAATTTATAATGAATAATGAAGCTAATTCGGGGGGGCAGTGTTATCAGTGGTAGTAGTCAGAAGGTTCTGAGTTTTTTTTAAACAGGGTAAGTCAACCTCGTCTAAGTGGAGAAAATTAAGATTTTGCTCATATCCCTTTTTAGTCATGGATAAAATAATAGTTGAAAATAAAGTAGAATGACAAACTTTCAGATCTTTTGAACAATGACAGCATTTAAAAATAAACTTTTTGTTGTTGTTGTTCAACTGGTCCAGGAAATCCGTAAGCTAACCAAAATTTCCATAGCACAAAGGCCTAAAAATATTTGTCATGAAAATAACTAAAGTGAGTTAAATATGTGCTTCCTGATCCTGCATATACTAATTTTAATGTATTCAGATGCCCTTTCATCATTTCTCTCTATATATCTTGCCATTTGTTTTCGTTCTGGCCTGGCAGAATTCGTGGTTCTAAATGAGTCTTTGAACAACTGACTCAGATCCTCAATATGAGGATAATATAATAAAATTATACATGTAAAAATTATTCAAAATTCAAAACTAGCCAAAGAGTTGATTTGATGTTGCCAGATTATTTCAAACTAGTAAGCCAGAAAATAGATATGGGACAGCTAAAGGTTCTGGACTAGGTCAGAAAGTGGTATATCATGAATTGCATGTTCTCAAGACATGGTACATAGGTTGAGTTCTGTTAGCCAAACTAGAAGAAGTCTACTGACTCATCTCATTAAAGCATGTTAAGTGCTATAGATAATGAATGCCTAGCTCAGGATATCAATGATGTTCAGGCTGAAAATTCTTAACTCTGCTAAACCACAGAGGTCCCTCTTGGACCTACTCTTCTCTTCTTAGCCATTGTCCACATTTGGCCAATTCTCCTTCAACCAAGAACTTGTTGCTACCATGCTTTCCTCCTCTTACCTTCCTCTCTCCTCTCATACTTCAGGAGCAAGTTTCCCCTGCCTTCCAGGGCAACAATTAGCTCATCTGATAAATTCGTTGGACTAATGTGCTTATAGGAGAAGGCTAATTACTAGCAGCTCCTCAAGGCCCTCCTAGCCTAGGTCACACTTGTGCATTGTAACAAGGGCCTTCTGAAGATAATAAATAATGATTATTTGGTCTTTCTATTGTGTTGTATTGTACTGATTTGTGTTCATTAAATAAACGAATAAAATATATAAAGCAATACAGATGAGGTTGGTGTAAAATCTCTGACATCAATTGAAGAAATCTATTTTTATAAAATATAATGTGACTTTTCAAAATTACATACTCTTAGAATTTGGGAGGGGGGCAGTTCTAGACCTATGATTTAAATGGTATGGAGAACTACTAGTGTGGAATCTCCCTTCACAATGCAGATGACTAATTTGCCTGTAACATATATTTTAAGCAGTTGCTTGGGGACAATTAGAGGTTTCATTCTAAGAATATTACAAAAAAGTTTTTGTCTTAAAAAATTGACAGCTCACAAATTAGATGATCTCTAGGGCTTCTTTTATCTCTAAGACTTTATTCTAGGAATCTAATGAGAAAGCTAATTGACATCTCCAATTTAAGAGGCACCCAATTTATCCCAATGCTAAGAATAAAGGATCAGACCATCTGGACTTGGTGGTTCTTCTTAAGCCCATAGTGGTCTGAGAACTTCAGAACTGGAAGGAATCTCAGAGACTATCCAGTCTAATCTATGCCTGAATCTAGTCATATTTACAATGTCCCAAATATCCAGCCTCTGATGAAAATTTTCTGGAGTGCAAACCCACTACTCCCAAGGCATACCCCCAAAGCAGCCTATTCCACTTGTGAACAGCTTTGGTTGTTAGAAAGTTTTTCTTTAAATTAAGCCAAAATCTTCCCTGGAGCAATTTCCTACCTCCCCCCCCCCCATTACATCTAATCTTACCTTCTGGGTCCAAATCAAAATAAATTTAATCCCATTCCTGTATTAAGATGTTTGAAGACAATTATCATGTCCTACCCTTCCTCCAATCCTCCCCTCCCCCACTACTTATCTACTCTGAATAGTTCCAGTTTTTTCAATTGGTCCTGGTATGGTATAGTCTCCAGTCCTCTAACTATCCTGGCTAGCTTCCTCTGAATTCTCTTTCGCTTACCAATGTACTTTCTAAAATGTAGCATCCAGAGGGGAATCCAGTAATGCAGGGGTGATGTGACCAAATTACAGTACAGTTGGATTGTTGTTTCCCTCACTAGAGATGCTACAATTTTCTTAATGCACTTGAGGAGAACATTAGGGCTTTCATGTTGTTTTATTTTATAGCTGACTCATATTGAGTTGGCAATTCAATAGCACACCCTTTTTTCCTCCACACGAACTGTTGTCTAATTTGCTTCTTCTATCGTTTACTTGACAAGTTGATTTTAGGAACCCAGGTGTAGAGCTTTATCTTCATCCCTTATTTCACTAAATGTATCCTGTTATTCTAGCCTGTGAGATATTTTTGGAGCCTGATGATGTTTTTCTTTGTGTTAGCCTGTCTCTCATCTTTATGTCTCTACAAATTTGCTATGCTGACCATTGATGGCTTAATCTAAACCACCAGGAAAAATGTCAGTAAATACAGTGCCAAGGATAGATCCCTGAGTCTCTCTATTAGAAAGCTCTCTTCACGTCAAATTTGATCCATTAATGACTACATTTCCTTCCTTGTTCCCTCTCTCCCTCCCATATTTACTTCCTAGCTTCCTTCCTTTCTTCCTTCTTCACTTCCTCCCTCCCTAATTTGGTTATGGATCTTAGTAACTGGGTCTTAACTGGAGTAATCTCCAAGAATGGCTATGAGGCCACCACTTTGTCATGGTTTTCCATACTAAACTTGGTTTGAATTTGGAGATAATTTTGATCACAGGACTTTTCTCTCTGAATCAAGAGCCCCTCATAATATCAGTCGCCATGATGATTGAAAGACTCTTTGTCCTCCTCATTGAAGTTACTGCTTTCAAGTGCTACTATGGATATCTGGATTGGCTTTGAGGGAAAAGGGTAATGCTAGTCCTTTCTCTATAGAAGACAGCAAAGGGTTTCTTGTGAATATCAGGAGGAGCACTAGGAACTCTGTATTTGAGGTTGAAGCATTTGGGACTTGAACACCTAAGCTTTCTATTATAAGACTTCCAAGTCACATATACATCCTATGGCATATGCAAGTCAACAGATTAAGTGGTGACTGATCCCTACCTCCTTTCAAGGTGGTGAGACCTCATCCTTTTAAATCCTTGGGAAAATTTTCTTGATCACTTCTAAAACTATATATAACATGTATGCCTGTAAATGAGCATCTTTGTTTTTCTACATTCAATATTAATTTTCTCAGTTAAAATTTATTTTTTTACAATTTCCTGGAAAAGAAAATTCTAGATTCTGAGTATTTTCAAGAAGCAATGGCTGGTTTTGCCTATGTTTCTAATGTTAGCTTGGTTCTATTTTTCGAAGAATCTAAATATATTAGATGTAAGAATGGTTCTCTGTACTATTAGAATTTCTGTAATTATAGTGTGTTTC